CATCATCGATGATGCTGGGTAGATGAATTGCGTGAAAAAAGAAAATCATCGGTCCAGGTAAAAATTTTGTCACTTTTTTACAACGAGTGAAAATCTTTTTTTCTGCGTTAAAAAAAAAATGGCCGAGGGCACAACCAGAGGATCAAGAAAGGATTAGCCGTGTCATCAGTAAAAAATGCCAAGCATGACAGCTACGTCGTGGCTTGTGAGAGTCGGGGATATTAACAGTGGCGAAGGGAGGGCTGGATCGAGGGGTGGACAGGGGGGTTGAACCGAGAGGGGTGAACGTGGGACAACGGTACCAGGTCCATACTCCTTCAGTCCTGGGAAATATTAATTTTCAGGATTATATCCGCACCATTCATGCCTAACACGTTGTCATTTGACAAGGAGCTCATTTTGGGATCTTGAAAAATACTTTCTTCTTATAAATACTTTCGTCTGTATAGCGTGGGAGCTTAAGTGTCTCTCGAAAAGGGAGGATCTTGAGTCATTTATGGGTAAATACAAAGAAAAAGGACATCGATTACACAGGGACGTATGAAGTCACTTGGGTAATGATTTTTTTTGTAATTTGTATTACTATCGTTATACTATGATTTTATCGACAAATTGTTTTGATCAATTTTCAACAGTTCCACGTGTCCAATGACATTTTTACGTATTAGTAGATTAAGAATATATCGCACCTGCGTCTAGCAATGCAATTTCAAACTGCCTTTGTAGTCTGACGTTATGATTCTACCGGCACTTTAATAGACCCGAGTTTATTACCATTAGAGCAGAATCAGGCGCCAATGAAAACAGTCCGGGCTGTTACGTACCGCTGTGTAGTTAAGAAAACTAATTTTCCTCCAAACGTCCTGGGAGCGCGAGTCCTCGGAATCGCACGGAGTGGGGATATATCGCGAAAAGGAAGAGAACTGAATGGTATCGGATAAAAAATGAAGACAAATTTTTTTTAATTAAAAAAACCGAAGATATCGGTCAACGAACCGAGAAAGCAGTCCCCGGGGGCCTGACTCGTACCGGGTTCCCCTCACTTACGTATTATATACACTTAACCAGACTCAAGATTTTGCATAAGCCGCGCACGCGCGCTGCAACCTCAATCCAAAAGACATAAAAAAAAATGTCCAAGATTTCCTTTTTGACCGGTCGCGGCTTTTTCATTCGCAGGAGCGTTTTAAGTTCTACCCGCAAATTACATACCGGACGCTAAAGCCAGTACAGGCTTTGCATTTATAGTAGGTTAACCATACGTTCCGAAAAGACGCTACCAATACCCACCGCCATCTTGTGCAATTTATTTTCGACAACGATATTTCGAATTTCCATATTTCTCTTTTTTTTTTCTCCAAAATTACGACGGCGATCTAATGCCGTTTTTCTTTTGATAAATAACCGAAACTCTCGTTAAAAACCATCGGGAACTATAGAATTCTGCTGGATGCGAAAGGAAACTTTAGCCTTTTTTTTTTAATTCCAGCACATAGGATGTTGACTTCGTAGTTCCCGCTGGACCCGAAGTTAGCGTCTCATTTTGATAAATTTTATTTTTTTTTTGTAAAAAACCAAAACTATCGTTTAAAACCATCAGGAACTATAGAATTTTGCTGGATGCGAAAGGAACTCTAATTTTTTAAATTCCAGCACGTAAGATGTTAACCTCAAAATCACCACTGGACCAGACGTCAGCTGACGTTCATTAGACGACACCAAACAACTGACACTAATTCACTCTTGACATCGATTTCATTAATTTCGCAAAAATTGTCCCCAACAACTAAAACGCATAGTGCCAACCAGACAATCTACAGTCTAATTTACCCAATTAAAAAAAGAAATTTATCCTCGAGCTCCATTCACATCCGAATCGATCGTCCAATACGATCTCTACTAAACAGCCTGCGTGTCTTTTATTACCAATAAAACTGATCAGCAGGTAAGTAAGCGCCATTAGTGGCACAGCGCGTGAACTATGACCAGCCACGTTTTCTCCGTCTTCGTGACCTTTATATATATGTATTACCAAGAAAATATACTTATACAAACTGCCATGTCATATTAAAATATATAGAACTAGAATATTGAAGAACTTGGAAACAGGCTTGTTAACGTGATTAACTGGACGTCCAAGGTGTAACAATTCATTCTTCCATTCGTCCTCGTATATCCTCCAACTGTTTCAACGTGCACACATGACATATATACATATATATCCATATACTCGTAACACAATACGAATATATCTATATACTAGTAAATTATGCCGATCCATTATCCTAGAAGGACATAAACATAGAGATATGGCAACGCAGCGAATATCGTCTGGTAGTTAGGTAAATGGTCGTCACATGTGTATACGCACGTATATGACAAATATATGGTATATATGCATATGCGCATAGAAAACATTACCATAATGCCGTGTGCGCGTGGACTATCCATAATGATTACATGGGTTACTCATAACTCGCATAATCTAGCTAACGAAATTCCAATTCGATAACAGATTACGGTGCATCGTCTTATTTCACACTGTTGAGGTAAATTCGTGAAATTATTATTTTATCGTGTTGATTCTTTGATAAGATTCCGACAGAGAGCTCACGTGACTCGTGTGTCTCGTAAGAGTTTGTCGACCCTGAATTTAGTCAAATTATTTTTTGACTCTCGGTAGATCAGTCGTTTCTCGATATGTTCACCTTAATTGGAATAGCGCTTAATTAATGGGAACGATCTGCCGAAATTATTGGATCTAGTACATTGACGTCTGTCGTATCCATATGGCCGTTGGAGAAATGTCCGGTGAATTTATGCCAATTAAATTTGTTCACCTTATTCACTGCTGAGTTCTTGATGGCATCCATATATATATTTTTTTTTTATAAAACTGGCTGAACGTTAACACGGACGTTCTATGATACCTTACGTGTGCGTCAGGCTTAATTCATAGGAATAGCTGCGGTCACGCCTTTGTGTACACTGTATGATACGTAGTCATATACAGCCTAGAATTTATCATACCATAAAGTTACTCACTTAAGACACTATGCAATTAGCGGATATGGAAGAAGCCTTGTCCTGTTACTAATATATCATTCGGCAATTTAGTCAACTTACGTAAATAAGGAATAAAAGAATTTTTTTTTTTTGATAATTTGAATATCTGCAAAATTTAAGTAGAATAAATTCACCAAGACGCAGACTGTCAAAAAAGATACAAGTGGGGCGAAACAAATTTTTGTATACATTCTTTGAAATTATTTTCATACGAAACTTCGTGTTGATATTAATTGGAAATATGGAAAACGAAATACCTTCAAGTCAGAGGGAGAAAGAATAATAGAATATGCATGAAAAAAAAAAGAAAAAGGATAAGAGGAAAGAAAATTGCAATAAAATATCATCTCCCCTTGGCTTTCTCCAAATGGTGCCCTCGATGAATTCTCTTATCTTTACCGACAGAGAATCGATTGGTTTATCTGCTGATTTCATGGATCCTCAATTTCGTTAGGTCAGCCATCGTAATGACATACGTGCACATGTGCGTGACACACTGATCTAATTTCCATATACGCCGAGGGGCCATTTTTATATGTATATCGACCCTGCAGCAGGTTATGCGGTGCTCGTGCTATTTTTTATTTTTACTTTTTATTATATCTTTTTTTTATTCTCATCTCTTCGTCTAACCTTCCCCTATTTCTCTATATATATATATTGTAAATAATCCGATCGTATGCACGACTCGCACGAAATGTCCTATGCAAATTTTTCGTTCAATCGCTTGTCCGATCGATCGATTCGCGTGACTCCGAATGAAAATATATTGAAATGGAGTTAAGAGGGTGCGTAATATAAATTTATTATTTGCAAAGTTTACTGCATAAGAGATAGCGCTTGATTTATTTTTTGTTAATTAAATTTTTTACACTCTTATTTCCGTACTTGATAAAATATCAGAGACAATGATAACGGGTAACGAGATGAACAATGGGTGGGAGATAATGAACTGTATAGTTATTATTTCCTTTTAATTATAAACAATGTATCTTGACGTTCGTGCAGTACCTTTTATCGCATTTCCGGTTCACTGCACGGGGTTCCCGCGATTCTCAAATACGTCACTTCCGCGAAACTTTTGCCATCCGAATCGAGAGACACGCGTAGGCGGAAGTACTTTCCTCCTGGATACTTTCTTTGATCGTTTAACGTCAGTTTCGCTTGTGATGGTTAGAGAAATATTTTACATTAGAGATGAGCGTACAATTATTAATAAAGCAACCTAATGCCATTATTTAAAATGAAGTGGATGCTGGATGCTGTTATCCTGGATCATTAGTACTATGCTTAGAGATTGGGAAACATCAAGTCCATTTAAAGGATTCAATATTCAATAGGAATAATACACGAATCTGATGCGTCTTGTCTTATCAGGTAGGAGAAGTTTTATCATAATATAAATATGTTCGAAAGGAAAGTAACGAGTTCTCATTATAACGAATTATGGCTCTGATCGTTAATCGGCTTTGTTTCTCTCGTTAACGGAAAGTAAGAGGATGAACTGTATCTAACGAGCTTTAACTCCCAAGGATCTTCTTATACAGTTAGTTATAGGTATATACAGTACCAGTACAATTAAATAAATTTTCAAAATTTTGTATAGGTTAATGCAATGGGAAAGTTCCATTTGGCTGAACAACCGAATAAGACTCCTTTTTGAGGTTAGTTGTGGATTGTTTGTCTTTTAAATAAAGCTCTTCGAAAAAAAGTCGTATTCTGCAGTTTTACCTTTCATAACCCAGTATACGGGGGAAAAATGACAACTGATAGTATACGCTTATAAAGGAACATGACAAAATAAAAAAACAATGTCGTAACTCATTTCGCCACTGAATTCATGAGAATCATAAGCAGGAAACTGACCTGTCCTGTTCTCTGAGGAAATGTCAAACAGTGACGAATGAACATTAGTCAAATTCCAAGATACTTACGTTTATACTAAGTGCTTGTTCCGATTCCTTATCCCGTAGTAGCTTTTCTTCTTCAAAATTATGAAAATGTCAATAACGGTAATTCAAAATCCATAAGCCTGCTGTGCAGGTGAGAGAATGCGCATCTTTACACTTATTGTATAAACACCATCAAATAAATCCAGGTTTATCAACATAACAGGACACAGGAACAACACAGGAGCAAAATTGTGTAAATAATCAGTAAGACTCGTTTGATTAAACGGCGAGAAACAGAAAAGTTAAGTAGATCCTTAAAAATACGACGCGCACATCCGCACTGTGCCAAGGGTGCCGTTCGACTGACTGGCTGTTCCGAAGACAGACTCGACCTGGTCGCTTGCTCGCCCGCGCTTGCTTCAAAGCGCTACACATCTACATGGATTATTACCACACTAACACAAATATTACACTACATATCACAGAGAGCAGTTACGGCAATACAGTATATACAGTACACACAATATACGTTTACAAAGGTTCCACGTTGCTGCATACTATGCTGTGTAAACGATTGGATACTACGAACATATACTGTACAGTGGTACATACTATAGGGAATAAGCCGGGTTTGATACCTGGAAGCAAGGTTTGGACGGACTGTCGCAGTATGAAAACGCGTGCGTATAGACTTAAGGTTGGAAAATATACGTTCGACATTGAAAGGTATTTTTGAGGAAATATGTTGCTCCTTTACTCTACATTAAACTGTAGTTTCTTTTTGAGACACGTACTGCATACCTGGTAAATGGCACTGCGTACAGTATAGTCGTTATTGATGAAAGTGTAAATAACCTATGGGATGTGTTCAGTGTATACAAATTGGATAAATGATTAAGATGGGAAACCGTTAGATCTAGCAGTGAGTTACTATTAGATACAGTATCGTTATATTTATCATGAATGATTTCCTATACGGAATGCAGAGTCATTTTGCGTAACTACCAGGTGTACGCGTATACTGTAAGATGGATCGAATTCTTGGCTATTCTAAAGTGATGTTTCATTGGTTACAGTGGAATTGGATTGATTGGTGCCACTGTCCGATAGATAACAACGAATGAAATTTCTTCGCTGTGCTTTCAAGTAAAAGAACGATGCTCGGAGCGGATCGCAAGGGAAATTAACCTCCAAACCGTATTTTATTTGTTGGATTGTCGCAGAGTGCAACAGACAGCTGGTAAAGACGAATGGTAAGTAAAAAGTAGTGAGTGTGAAAGAGAGTGAGAGAGGAAGGAGAAATGACAAGCGATTCAGAGTCGGCGTCAATTCGAAGTTGCCCGAAAAAAGCCGTTGCGACGTGGAGCGTCGAGTTTAATGGAAAGGATGCGCAGCGTCGGCGAATATACTATACCGATGTAATTTACGTCCAACGTTTCTGTGCGTTCTTTTCGCGGGACGCCTCCGCCATTTTTTTTCGAATTCTCATATATCAGCTTGCTTCGAGCACGTGCATTTACGTCGTGGGAAATTGGACGGGTGATCGAGGCTCACTGGAGAGAGAGAGAAAGAGAAAAAACAGTTAAACATGAACGGTTTAAAACGTTCTTCGTTGAATTTCGCAACGCCAGGCGTCGCTGTATTTATTTTTACTGCCTTTTTTTAAAATCCATTTTAGAGCTACCGAGCTTACGGGTAACCAGTTCATCTAATATTGGCTAAGGAAATATAGACGAGGCGAAAGGATGTTTTTTTAAATATTTTTTTGTAAAGGACTTTTTAGAGAGTGAGAGAGAAAAGGAGGAGAGGAAAAAGAGTCGAAAGGACTTTTCGGTGAGTGGCGATTAATCCAGCAGAGCCGCTCGTAAAGTGTTGTAGGAACGTCCGCCCTTTTGCAGGGTTGTATTTAGCATTGGGCGATATACGTGCGATGCATATTCTTTTTTCTTCTTCTTTAAAGCGGTAAATCCACGCTAGCGTTTACGAGCGAGAAACTGTTCTGCCTTAAGATACGGAGGGGCAGTCGATTGCGTTGTGGCTCATTCTCGAAATTGAGTCCTGAAGAAAAAAAAATGCTTATCGCCTGAACGAAGGGAATTGAGTCTTGGCAGACATGTGTCTAGGTATAGAAAGTGCAGTCCTTCAATCCAAAGCCATAAATACCCCTTGGAGGGTTGCCAAAGGTTAAGGACAGCCCACGAGTAACCGCACAATCTTCTCCCACTTGTGTCTTATGGTAAAGCAGAAAGAGAGAGATTGAAAAATGGAAAGTATTTATAAGAAAGAGAAAAATTCTCTTTGTAATTGCCAATTACTTCGTGGCGTTAATTTTTCTTTACACTCTGATCCTATAGCTACGTACACACTAGGAGGACGAAGAAGCAGGCAGACACCGTGGCAATAATAAATATCCCCAAGCACGATTACGCTCGCGAACCAACTCAGCGCATGCCTTAGTACCGGATGCCCAACAACAATAACGCCTTTAATTATTACTTGTAATTAAAAGGCATGTCTTGTGCGAGTAGACTAACTGTAATACCGGTAAATCGTACCTAATAACGTGAGGTACCGTTTGCCCGTGAAAAATCTTTGGACTTAACAAATATTTCATATTTCCCGTTTTCTCAAATTTTTTTACCCCTAAAAAAACTTTCATCGAATCACCTTTTTTTTTACTATAATAACCTGGGAACATCCGGTTGTATCTTTCAAGAAAAGATTCGGCTGTCACACAGCCCTCCGACCCCCACTCACAAAATACTTTAATTCAAAATTTTCCAAAACACCTGTTACCAGTGTGAACGTCACTTCGTCCAGACACGTTTTCTATGTTGAGTAAAATTTTATGAAGATTAAGGAATTTTACAGAACACGTTTATTATATACCTCCGGTAAAGGGACGATGGGAATTTCCAGAAGAGTTGATACACATTCTCTCTCTCTCTCTCCCTCTCTCTCTCTCTCTCTCTCTCTCTCTCTCCCTCCCCTTCCCTCTCTGGTCGCTAGGAATATTGGCATTTTATGAGGTTTCCCAGATAAAATTCGTTACCCTCTCGACAGCTCGTGGAAGCCATGGCGCCGCTAAAATGTTCAGCCGAGTTTCCACCGTTACGTACCCACATAGTTACGCATACGTAACGCGTATTTCAAAAAGCGGGTTTAATCGCGATAGTCAAAACTCTGACAATATGTGTGTATACATAAAACGCGAAAATATAATAACGGCCTAGAGTTCAGGAGTACAAAACGTATAACGATAAAAAATGAAATAAGACCATAAAACCAGACTCATCGAGAATGAATATCCAGGAAATTTCACGAGGTAGAATTTAATTAGTGTTTAACCGCTATGCGTCGGCTTTCATACGTACGAATGAGTTTGTTGGAAAATACCTATCCCACTAGAAGCATGCATACATGGTTGAGGATAACCACAGCTTAGGCCTGCGCCACACGATCGTTGTTCAAAAGCGTATTATGAATGCCGCCCGTTTCAATTATATTGATTCAAATTGTAATAGCCACATGAAAACGCATATTGATATTGGCGTCATATCCAGCTGACGTTAACATCTGACAGTCGTAACTTGCGTTCGAGTGAGCGTTGTGAATTATATGGTTGTAGTTCGCAGTGTCGCCACGAGCGCTGATGCAGCGATATTTATTAACCAAACATATAAAAGTTACGACAGTGTCCTACCGACGTCCATCGAAGTTTGAAATGATGTTAAATGCGATGATAAAAAAAAATAAGCGTCACAAAGTTTCGATCTGGCGATTAGAAATCGTAGATAACATTAACAGGCATCGGATTGACGTTGCACCGACAGACGTTGAAAGAACGTCACGTGGTTTTGGCCTTAATGGAAAATAATAAAGTAATCGACGAAACCGGCCTCAGGATCGTCCGCCGAGGTACGTATAGCTGTCAGCCATTATGTATACGACGTTAAATCGGTATAAGAGTAACAGAATTTGTGTAATAAAGCTGATTAAAATGATTCACGTTTGCGTCCAAGAAAATGAAAAATGATTAGCGTATTTTTCATCGTGCTACTACGCGCCTTGTTACCAGTAAATATTTGCACGGGAGAATGTGCGACCGCGCGCAAACAATTTCCGATGTTTCTACACGTACGTGGTACGATACGTTGCGCGAAGAAGGAAGTCAGGAAGGAGGACGAGAACTGTGCGGAACAGAGACTCTCAAACTGGCGCATACTGACACACTAAGAAACTGGTGAGGAACGGAAAATATTCTGACGTGGGAAAAATTTTTACTGTTAACCGTTGCCTACCTAACCTCCTGGTATTATTCTGATAACTGTAACGCGATTCCGCCCGCGGAAGCCGCACGCGTCTAGCGCCCTTTAAAAGCGGTAATGACGTTTAAAGTCTAAATAAAAATCCTATACATTGAACGGCACTGCGGAATTAAAAGAAAATAGTAGGCTTCGTGATTATTGTTTTCAAGTTTAATAATTTTGAAAAACGGTACGTCAAGTCGATGGAATTTGAGCGAACGTGTGTATATCGTACTACCCGAGTAATAGGCTTTATGAACCCGTGGTAAAAAGACTTACGGGCACGAAATCAAAATTACGTAACAGATCGAATCAGGATTTAATTTATTTAATGCTGCCCATAAATAAATCCATTGCAATATATGCGCGTATAACGAGGCGCAATATTGTTTCTAGGATGACCCTTATCTGCATATTCGATTGATTTTTTTATCCTGATCCGGATAACGTATAAGTTATCTAACAAGGACGAACATTGTCGCCAGCAGCAGGAATAACGTCGTCACGCTCAGCTGAATCGTCGACGTTGAATTGCAGCCGTCTTTTATGCACGTGACGCACGTGATCCAAGACTGAGGACCGATATTCTCCTTCAGTGCAGCACAGCTCCCCGATGACGTCCCGGCATAACATCCTCTTTCAGTCACTTTCCTTTGGTTTTCTGAAAACGAGCGGTTACTGGGATACCAAAAAAAAATTCAGCGTGATAGACAATCGATATACGTACTCGTGTAGACGATCTTGTAACAGACGTGATTTGCACCTTTTCTGGGACCTATCGTACCGGGAATGTCCCTTCGAACTACGTTACGTAACAGAGGAATATCCAGATCTAAAAGTATGAACGAGATTGAATTCTTTCTACAGTCTAAATTTTAACTAAAAATTGACATTTCCCTACCTGATTTCAGTAAGAAAATTTCGGTGGTACTGGTACTATTTGATCCGTCAGTACTGGAACTATCACTCTCTGTACTGGCAGTGGCAGTAGTACTGACGGAAGCAGTACTAGTATTTTCGGTAGAATTGTTTTCGGTACCGGATGAACTGGAACTCTCCGTAATAGTACTGGAGAATGTTTCACTGTGATCCGAAGTATCCGTGGTCACTTCAGATTCCGTAGAACCGGAAGCACTCTGGGTACTGATACTTGCTGAATTTTCAGTAGTGAACTTTGTACTTTGAGAACTTGATGATCCTCCAGCTTCTGTGGAAGATGCTGCGGACACTGAAGTTTGCGTGGAACTGGACCAGTCTGCGATAATCGCATTTGCCGTGGATGACATGGTCGAGAAACCACACGTCTCTATTTCGATATCTTTCGGATTCGATGAACAGGATGGATTATCAAAGGATGAGCATACGTGACACTGCAGGGCCAGGCCTGATCAAATTTGTTTGAATTATTAAAAATTTTTTTCCTTAATTTACTTTACTATACTCACTATGGTGTATTACGAGCAGTACCAGGATCGGTAATAAAGTGCCGGAAGTGCGCTCTGGAGACATGATGGCCTAACGCTGTCAGGACTGCGAATGCACTTTGGCACCTCTATGAATTCATAAAAGGAAGCGGACGTTTGTTATCACAGTTTTCATCGGCTATCACGGAGATAAAACTTGCGATTATACCGATACGAAAAACCGATCAATACCTTCGTTTATGGCGAAAAATTATGAGGGTACTCATTACAACTTGTGTAATAAATTGGCTGTCGCTATGTTCGTCATGATTATCATTGATTTCAAAAAAAAAAATAACAATCTTCTCCACTTTGTATCTTTATCACAATGTATAAATATATCTATAATGACGAATCCGTATATATTTATCGTAGTTGCAGATTTTGTATACTCTTTTTTTTTCCAACAATTAATATTTCAAGGTTAATGATGGGAAATAACGTATTATCTCGTCGAAGAAAAATTTAGCAAGCAATTTCCCATCGAAGGATCGTTCGCGATTAGTCTTCATTCAGGATTAAGGTCTCGTGGTAGATTTATACGGAGCTCCAATAAATCCACCGTCGCGACGTCGGCGTCTGTACCGGTATAAGAGTTAAGGGAGTCCTCGTAATGTTGCTCTGTACGACAGAAAAAAAAACGTAAGTCAGCTAAGAGAAGTAGAATTGTCGAAAATAGAAAGTAAAGGACAGCAGTATGCGAGTAATTCGAAAAAAAGGCAGACATAAGCAGGAAAAGGGTGACTGTGTATATGTGAGATCCGTCGCGGCGCCATGAAAATGTAAATATTTAAAATCCATCTTTCTTCACAGTTCATTCCTCGATGATGATATTTTCCCTGTATGAAATATGAATACCTTCGCTTTATCATTTCATATATTTTCTCTTGAGATATTTACATCCTCGTATTCTCATACAGGAATTTATTTATCTGTTTTACGAGGGTCTGGACCGGAAAGATCCCTAAGCCTCGAGTATGTCCAGGAGCAAATACATTCTATTGAATTCTATGTTATCCGACTGTCTAGGCAAGACTACCCAAAGTCCCAAGGGTTAAATGGGGGAAAAAAAAAATGTAACTTTTACGGGATTATCCCGAGGGAAGATTTCAGGGGTCTCCCCAATGAAGACTGAAGGAGCGAAGAGACATTTTGAAGAAGGTATTACAACCTCATAGTCGTAAGGTACAGCACGGCTCCTTTTATGAGACTAATAAATATGGCTGGCGATAAGCCAGCAGCAGTATACCTGTATATATGTTGATTTAAACATTTAAAAAATTTATGAATAATTTCATTACTAACGAATCAAATAAGAAGTCAACTTCATCGTCGACTACGAAAACTGTCCAAGTATACTTGGAAGCCCAGCTAAGCTGCTAGTATCCATCAAGAACTTTGCTTCCTCAGCAAGTTCAAGTTTTCTTATCTAACCAAGTACTCCACCTTCCGTCGGCAGCAACGCGTTTCGTTCCTGGCGTTATTTTTCCAGGACGTCAGGGGGTCATCGGGGGTCGTGAGAGAACGACTAGTCCCGGGGAACTGGTAGCTCGGCAAGGTTACCGGATGAGATCGAGGCACAGAAATAGTTTCTGAACCTTGGCTGAGTTTCCTGCGATTTTAAAAATGTCCAATTGGTTTGTCGCTTTATTAATATGAACGTACTATACGGGTGGACGTACCATGGAATTTCACATAGCTATAGAACAACAGATTCTAGTGGCCATAACGTTAGGTCCTACAAGGTACCAGCAGACTCGACTGCACGTACCTCTCTTGGGTCTTCTGTGAGAAGATCCGCGATAATGAGAGAATCCGGAGGCACGAGGAAGGGACCGTCATTATTGTTACTTTATTGTACCTAGCACCTCTCTACGTGATGGTATTCCCTTCCCACACTCAACATCAGGAATAACAATGACATAAGGACGGTACCGTGTCGTTGACTCTGAGTATTCTTTACCCCCATAAATCCCAGCGACCAGAATGAAACGACCTGTAGAAGCGGCTTCGTAGCTGATGCTGCTGGAATGTGCCAAGTATCATCCTCAAAGGACGGATCGGCTGAGGTGGGTATAGCAAACTTGCGCGTAGGTATGTAACACGTCGGGAAATGGCTGAACTATGCGCTTCCCTGTATCTTTCGCATCTATAAGATTCACAACACTGTCTCACGGACCTGGCTGACTGTAGCCCACCTTCTCTCGAGCATCCCATATCCACCAGCAGGTCCCTTACACCTTCTGGGTACACAGTGCGTAGGAACCCGTATAGAGTTCTGCATACTTTCATCAGCTTGTCAAAGCAACGTGCAAATGGGAACGCGACGCGTCGTTGTGAATAACGAAGAGAGGCTTAAGGAATCCTCTTCTAAGGTCGAGCCAATTGCTTCCTGGCTAGATACGTACTTGGTGACGTTACTCAGGATCATTACTCCTGGACGTCTTTCCACCTGTGCCATCATCCGCTACCTGTAACAACTACCTGACCGTCTTGGGTAACGTATAGGACATGGAGCTGATACAAAAACCTGTTACTCACCACACTTCATTGAGCTCTTATCTCTGACCCAAATCATCGCCACGTTCTAGCCACTAGGTCTCGTGGACCTGATGAGACAACGTGGACTAGCTATTTGTTCCGGTGATCGAAAGAATCCGTTCATGGATGCTGTATAGCTCCGGTCCATTTTCATGATGATCCTGGGTTCTTCGAAAGACAGATCTATTGATATTGTATTATTATCATGATAAGGATGAAACTGTTTCTAAGTGGTCCGTTACATGATCTTCGTGTCTCTTCTGGTCCATTCGCTGATCTTGATCAAGTGGAGGACAACAATGAGTCTTCGCTCCGATATCATCTCGACAACGTCATCCTCTTTAATTATCACCTAGGGCAGGGAGTGGCGCTGGTCGGAATCGTGTACTCTATGGATTTTTCGTAAAGAGGTAAAAATGAAAAGTGAGGCCATCTATTGTAAGAACAAAAGAGTTATCTCGAATATCTTATTATCTCTGTCTCGAAAAAGGGGAAATACGTGGTTTCGACTTTTTAGCAAATTTTCTTCTTTTTACCATTTACGAGAATCATCGATAGCGGCGTTTGTAATAAATGGGCATTCTAATCAGTAACTGATAAGGCACTTTGATTATTTTACGAGGATCGCCGTGCGAGTATTCCTGAGTTATCTCAAAGTTTCTCTATGTTGATAATGGTAACCAGTAATGACTAAAGACTTTTTGGGTCAAGGCTCGTGTTTCAATTCTCACGGTGACTCTTCTACGTACGTACTACTAACTACAGGTATACTGTACGAGTACTGCGAGTACCACCGACTACAGTGTACAGGAATAGACCATGCCCGAGCCTCCATCATACTAAAACTGAAACAACAACCGTCGACCGTCAAAGAGACGCGACACTGCTCGCGATAAGCAGTATTATAATAATTTATGGCGACCATATGCGGGATGTTGAGGTCGACGTGGCCTTCAATTATATATATTTTCGTTTCCCCATTTTGACACGTTATTCGCATAACGCATGGTGACTAAGACGAAATTTTCCAAGTCATTGTCGGAGTACTCGGTAACCTCACAAGGATAATTTAAAAATTCCAACTACCAGTACCCAAGTGCCTACGTATTAATTCATTCTTGCTGATTATTTTATATTCTCTCTGGGAACCTGAGATTTAATTGTGATTAATCGCCCGGTTCTTTTAATTGCAAGATAAGCGTAGATAATTATGGGAAATGTACCGGGGAGCATTGTTTTTCCGGATTTCCATGGGAAGTTCAGTCGCGGCATGTAGAACCCGATAGCAGCCACTGCGAAAGTCAGCTTCAAGCGAAATAGTCTGTTCTTACGTTTTGCTTGCATTTCCACATACGTCCACAAGTGTGTACGCAGTCTGCACTTAGCCATGCACCATGCATAATTTTCTTTTACACGAAACCCGCACTTAACCTTCTACCGGTGATCTCAAGTCGACACGTGGTTCACGGTTTCTCTATGCAGAGTGCACAGTTGTAGCTTCTATAATGAAATTACCTATAAGCAGACCCTATGGGATATCGACCAGTAGGAATAAGAAGCGCACGATGACCAAGCGATGCCGTAATTGCACGAACGACTCTCTCGAGATATCTTATAGTTACGTATCATACGTGTAAAGGTGGATTCACAGTAAAGTATCTAATGGTGAGTGATGTCGGATAATAATTCATGGCGATGAGCACTTTCCAATTTCTCACTTGGATTACCACCTGGAAGATTTCTTACTGTTACGTTGCCCACTCCGAGGGAAGCTGCGAAATGCAGAAGCTGCGCTCTCTGCGATTTAAAAAAAAATAATATTTCCAAATTACCCAGATCCAAATTTATATTATTCTACTTTCAAGTGTACAGCTCGCACGGTAATGTTGGCTGCGACAAAGTTAAATGCAAATTCTGAGGTTTTTTTAACAGGAAATGCATAGAGGCTGACAGGGTCGTATGTGTAAAGGATGTAATTTGCATTTTGCACTTTCTGAACTTTTCTATCTGCATACGAGACTTGAATTTTGCTATGGGCGATGTTTGCGCTGTCGTGCTTAAGCCCAGTTCACACTGTCCAATACTAAAGAACTATGGAGTGAATCGTACTGGTGGTTTCTTTTTCTCTCTCCAAAGTAATTGCGTATGTATTACTTTCCGCCCTTAGCATTTTCCTTTGAGCCACCCTTTGTTTTCGTAACGTTGGGCGAGTTTCGTTGTGGCGACAATGGGCGTCCTGTGTTGATATTAACTGCAGTTGAAAAGACTGTCTTGTTAGATAAAGAAAGCGGTATGCTTCATTCATGATTGCAATGAAGAGGAGGCAAGGAAAGAAAAGAATCTAGAATGACATTAACCTAGATACCAGATCCTGACCGACTGCCAGGTAAAAGTTGTCAAGCATGTCTTATGCAAATGAGTTCGGTAATTTTTTCGCATTTTGTAATAAACGCCCAGATAATTGCTCGCCTGACTATGCAGGGTTACGTTATTTCATTAATATCCGAGCTTTTTATCATTGAGTTTTGTATCTGGGGAATTATTCAATAAATATCTAGATAAGACGCTCAACATTCCTAGGAATACCTTGAATGCCGGGAAGAATACTTTCCTTCGTGTAATGCCTAACCTAACCGGAAGTAACTGAGGAAGGAAACACGGTTGGTAAACAGACAGACAGACAGGTAGGTAGGTAGGTAGGTAGCTGTGCTAGGTAAGTACCTAAGTAATGGTCAGGGGTTGGATGAAAAAAAAAAGACTGGCCTTCACAAGCCATTTGCCATAATGGCTGTTAGCATAGTTGCACTAATTTCCTTTGTAGGCTTCAGCCTGGTTTTCACGCGGCCTAAATTCCATCAAGACTCACGAATACTTACACCAGGGTTCAATACTTCTGCCACGTGAAAGGTCTTTCTGGTTAACAGGGTAATTTCCTTAAAAAAACGTATCGTACTCTTAATCACCGTTTGTTGACAGAAAATCAGGAAAGTCATTTTCTATATAAAAATTTTTGAAAAATCGTACAATTATTTTAAGATTCGACAAAAAAAAAGTTAATAAACGCAGCATGCAAATTTTTTAAACATACAAGAGTATTCGGGGTACTTAAGTCGGTACAGATCTTAAAAAGAATTCCAGGTAGGAGAGGATCTTTTTTTTCAACGATTTCTGCAGAAATTCATTGACCCACGCCCAGGAGACTCCTTTTCGTTCGTTGAACCCTGCACAGGAACTTTCACAGTCCCAGCAGGAACGGTCATCGCTTTTTCGAATGTTACCGACTGGGGGAAAGGTAAAAGGATTCAAAGTCAGAGGACTCGGATCTCATAGAAAGTAACGTGTGTTTCGTAATAGCAGGGTACGTATTGAGATTTTATATGAGCCTCGTGTCAAAGACCGCCGACGGGCAAATCAAACCACGAATATCTTATAGTATTAACCTAGACCTTAAAAATCATTGGATCTTAAACACGTTTCAGTGTAAAAGCGCCATGAATTTCAACCAGGATCATACGAACAGATAGGCATACACTTTGTATGTTAAGTATTGATCAAAACAGTGCTCGTATGAATAAACGTGTATCGAAGACGAAAGAAAAGCTGACACGTGTGTTAAAAAAAATTTTTAATTAAATAAATCATTACAAGCCAGAATCGAAAACAATGGCGGACCGATCGAAGACCATGGACGCGGATGAATAACGTTTCTAAAGAGAATGAAAAAAAAAAAAAAAACGATCAGATGGATGAAAATGTTTTTTATCAACCGTACGACGGTGATGAGCCCTCTAATCGAAGGACGGGCAGAATTCGCTGAATAATTCTACGAAATTACATAAGGGCATGCAAGGTGCGTCCACGTGGACGCGCCATAAATTCAAATAGTCACGTAGTGCGCATGCGCATAAATTTTTTCCCTGTACCGAGTGACATGGGAACATTAATAAATCCTTGTACGGTACAGAGCGTTTCAGTGCAAAACACCTGAATGATAACGAAAAGTCAAATACGATTTCCATAATAAAATTGGAAGTTGCCAATAAAAATACAGTTATTTTCACTTGATTAAACATCACAACGCCAAGTGGTACTCGACAAGAGATTAGTTTTAAGAAATTGAGTATCTCGATAAACGAAAATATTTACACGCATGAATCCGAGATAGAGAGCTATCTATACCTATATATACACTTATTTATTTATGAGCGACGTGACGTCCAAAGCTTTTGAATAATTCATACCGCCCATAGAATACTTTTCCCTAGACTTTCGTTATCCGTCCATTATCTTGGATTTGTCTTGACCGACCTGTACCTGTATCTTTTCTCTTATATAAGAAGCACATCTGACATACAGTACCAGGACTGGTCCCATTGATTGCTTGCAGGATCGGATTAGCAATAATAAATTAATCAACGATATTCTCTCTTTATTCCAAAAAATTAATCGCTAATATATTTTATTGTTAATTTTATTTTTTTTTTTCGTCTTTATATTAATGATATATTATTACCTTCCAAAAGGTCATTCCTTTGACAGGTTATTTACAGCACCCACCGCAGCTTCGGCTAACCTCACCGGTACCGTAATTGCCATGATGGACGTTACACGGCTGAAACCTTCACCTTGGCTCGGCACGAACTCAACGACTTCCTTACGATGAGACATACAGCAATTTCCCCGGGGATAATAATCGAATACTCCGTAGTAGATTCCATTTGGGATAAGGACACCAGGAACCGTGACACTTTGGATCGCGATCCCTCAAACGTTCTAGTATGCAATACATGTATACAGCAAGGCATACACAGTGCGGGATCGTTTCTAAAATCAATTTCTAATAGTATCGAGAATCTGCCTGTTTCTCGACTAATGGCCGCCCGAGGCGCAGGGTACACGTGTGATGTATAGGACAGTTCGTAGAAGAGTAAAACGAGGAAAACAAAAGAATTATAATCCAAGAGTGTGTCGCAGTTGTATTTAATGTGACATATCATTTTTATTAGTCCGTTAAACGTTTTATTTGTATTCCTCGTAAGATCCGCGGATAACGATGACTCGCATAGATCGACGAGATTCATCGGATCTGATAAAAGTTTCAAGCTCCAGGATTCCTTCGTGGAGAAAGCACCGCCTCGACGAAAGCCAACGGGGTTTCGCACGTCGTCAGAGAAAGCCGACGTCTACCTCATTGTTGCTCCGGGCATCTTTTTGCTTATTCGTAGATCTCCTTAAGGAGGGTCCCACAGGTGTGTCTATACCCAGGAGGCACACGTGTTCCGATATATGAAATACGCCCCTGGCGAAAATTTATTGTGTATACGTAACGTTAAACCTCGTATACTATAGTATGGTTTAATATAGTATAATATATATAAATGACATACTAAATTCCAGTAGCCATCACTCCAACTGTTTTCTATTGTCTCTATGGGAGTCACAGATTTTTTTCTCCCTATTTCTTCTTTTTTTTCTGTTCCTCCTATTCTTCTTCTGGGACGTTCGCTCGGAATCATCCAAGCGTTTCGTATCGACCTCGACCTCGGGCTGAATCTCCTTTGCGTAACCCTCTCCTAATTCTCAGGACAAGAACGACGGAACATTTAACGAGCAAGCAGATGATTACTTTCAGGGTCTGACAATCGCCGGGTTATATACGACCTCGAGATTCGTGTAGAAGATGGGAAGTATTTTGTACTGCGGAGAAGTCACTTTTTTTATTTGTTCCTATCAGCCGAATGATTCTCTTGAGTATCGCGATATTTTACTTTTACTTTTTCTTTTTTTTTTCCCCCCCCTTTACTTCATACTCTTTTCACTACTTTCGTTGATCTCTTTTTCCATGTATCCAGATTTTTTCATTTTTTTTCAGTCGCTTTGACAGATACAGCGATTTCTCAAAGTCACACAGTGAGAGTTTTTTGATTTTTTCGATGCGCTCCATTTAGTAGTAAATGAGTCCGGCGATAATGTTTATATACGATAACTATGATATTAGCACTCAATATTAATGGCTGGAAAGATTTGTTTATCATATATGTATGTGGCTGACTTAATTATTCCTCTCGCTTGCTAATGGCTTAGCTTGACGTCTTTTTCTTCTCGAAAGCCAATCAGATGCTCCGTTCATTTTATTAACTGATTGATAGCTATATATATATAGGTACTTATCATGGCAGACTTCGAGGCTACCGGCAAATTTTTCTTTAACGCCTGACATTCAAAAGAGATAGAATTTGCTAATAGTCAAGTGCATGTAGTAGATCCTTTCTCCAGTGACGTTTATGTACGATTAAGCGCGCAGATCATGAAATCTAATAGTTGCGCCTCCAGCGCCACCGTAAAGAAAGCGGAATTTATTGGTAACGGAAATATCGTCTGCCCACTCGTCCGATATACAATATGTGTCAGTGATACGTATCTCGTACGTACGAGTCTTTTCGATACGTCACGAACAAAGTAATAGACGTAATCGGCCAAGTAAAAAAAATGTGTATATTGTGTACAGTCCTGTATAATTATATTGAAGAAAAATAAAAATTTTCTTAAAAATTGTTTGCCGCCATTTTTTCATTACTACCCATTGATACTGGTGATAAGGGCCAAGAGATTATCAATTATTAAAAATCGCATTGTTAAGGTAATTATATTTTTGTATATCGGACACAAGATGGAACCGTGAGAATTCTATCTCAGTGTGAGGTTTTTGTTTTAACCTAAAAAATCTATTTCGCCTACTAATTTGCACGGGGTTAGATGTAATCGTTTGCGAAGGAGTCCTTCCTTTCGAAATCGTGTGTATAATAGACCCGTGCCTGAGGCGTATAAGAAGAGCGAGCGTGACGCGCCTACATTCAGACTTCCAGAGTATCCAGGTCCAAGTTCCTCTCGCGGCCAAGTTCAGGGCTAACAAGATCCGATCCTGGTTTACCCCACCTTCTCCACAGCGAGTACCTTACAAAAGTCCACCTTCCTTCCAGACTCCAGACGACTACGGACCCAACGCCATAAACCTCAGGGGCCTTGGTTCTCGAGATCGTTTTATTTCGTGCCCGCTCGTCCCTACAGAGTGGGCTCCTTTCGTTTTCTTTTATTTCTGCCTTTCTCGCGCCCCTTCGCCATTACCGCACCACTTCCTTCGTCGACCTGGCGAATAACGTCGCGACCCACCGACCACGCTTAAGCACTCCGCTATAGTCATATTATTTTTTTTCTCTTAAAATTCGGTCCATGAAATTCCTAGATGAATTTCTCAAAGGATCATTATCTTTTACGCTACTTTTTATATATCCAAAATTACTCTCAATTCTCAAAGCGATGGTCATCTTAAGTGACGCTGATATAGATACCAAATTCTATATAGTATATCATACACCTATATTACGTACACACAGTAAACGGATTTGCTGCCGTTCAAAAGCATCAAAGGAGCACGTAATCCCCGTAGATGGTGCACGACCGAGCGTAAGGTTTACACAGGGAATTCGTTTGACTTGTGCAAATAGGTCCTGTAGGTTTTGAACAGGCACGTTTATCTGTCTATAGGGATGGAGTGACGTAAAGCGGATCGGCAGGCTCTCTCGTTCACTTGCTCGCTGCGAACCAGCCTGAATAGTAGAATGGCCAGTACGAAGTAGCTTTTACGAAGTAGTTGTTTGACGTCTCCATTCGATCGATAATACGCCGAGATACCGCACGAGCAGAAGACCGTAACCGGGTCTGTCAGTTGAGATAAGGTAAATTCTGGGTATCGATCACAGGTCCTGCAGCAGTTCAGTTTACATTCTGTGGACAAAGAAGCCATGTCATCATTTACTTCCACAGACACTGTGCTGAGTGAGGATAAAGTTTCAAAAGAATTTTTCTCAACTACTTACTGACACTTGAATACTTCATTGTACACGGGGAATAGAATTTTTCTTTAAATATTCTCCTCGTGAAAATTTGGATATGCGCAGCATTCATGAACGTCCGATACTACCGGAGTCCCTTTGAGTCCTGAAGGGATTTACTTTTTGCTTTCTTTACCTCTCTTCCTTGTCTTTCCCTTCACTCGCTGCCTCTCGCTCACTCTCTTTCCCTTACACAACGTCTCGCGTTCTCCGATCCTTCGCGTCTCGTGGATGGCTTCGCCGTCTGCATCCTGGAATGCGGTTGTTCCACTCGAGAAGGTATCGCCGCCTACGTATTCTTGACTTTAGTGGGATGCTGTGATGTAAGAAGGATAGGAAGGTTAAAATTCGCGAAGGGATACTCACGATACTGACCTCGTAAACCGGGCGCCATTGTTCTCGATATACGCGATCGATTCTATACTGGATAAATCGACGAGGCAGCAACATGGATGAAGAATTTCTATAATTAATTGTGAGTACCGGGTTCACGTAAACGGGTAAGAAAATCAGTATTATCATAAATCATGAAATCATTAACAATCTCAAGGATATATTGGATTTTTATATCCCTTGGATACACAGGATAATATTTATACAGGTACGTACATCAATCAGCATTTGACAATGTGCCGTTACGTCCAGTTACCAATTCTTTTTTGGTACTGTCGATGCTCATTGAAATTGGAACCGTGTCACCGGAAGTGGGGCTCTGAATAATTGCAAGGAAGTGGGAAAATGGGACCAGGTAGTACATCAAGAGTAATGAACCTGCAGGGCATGTTGATAAGGAGCCATATCTATAAATCAGGATAAGAAAGCTTTCATTCGGTAAACTTTCTTTGTTTATGCCTTTCTAGGAAACAATCACCAAAAATAGTTACCTGTCTCATAAACTGAAAGACCTCCATCCGGTTCCGGTAGCGAGTACTTATTCAGAACACAAATAGACGTAATCCGTGCAGTAAAACATGTCGTGTGATAAATCATACCCAAGCGTTGAATTGTCATGTTGAGATTTTCTACCGGGTGTTCGATAAATAATATTATTATTTACATCACGTAGCAAGCATTATTTTATTAACAACGCTCAAACGCTGAACACTTTGCCTCCGGTAGAAGATGCTCGTTTACCTCTTATAAACGAACACTTTACAAGGAGAAAATGGGAAGACCCGGGATTGGCCTGGAGCCATCATGTATGGACCATTAAAGAATCTCAGGCATTTGGGGTCTATCATTAAAATCTTGCTCGACGTCATGGAAGTAAGCTGCTACGAATTGGACGTTTCCCATAGTCGTCATCAATGTCATGAAGATCAGGAGGATCGATAAAACCGCTATCGTCATACCTAGTGCATCGAGAGCCAGGAGATCTTGGTGGATGTACGGGATGTAACGGATGGATACTGCGAAATATGTAAAAGAATAAATTAAAAAAAAAAAAATTTCACATTCTTTACGCAAACTAAAAATTACCTGGTGCACCTCGAAGGACTCGTCTCAAGCGGCTCGTCGTATCTGCGTGACAGCATCGTAAAGTCTCTGTGCGCAGCCACCATTTTCTGAAGACGAGATATGATCTCGTAATCAGGCGAGCAAATTGGCTCTGATAACAGCTTCGCAACGGACACCCGGAAGCTTTGGAGCTGCAAATAAAGTTAAAATTACAATTTAATACATTTTTTTTCATCCGATCCAACTGATCCTTATCCCTTGTTATTTGATTGTTTGATTGGACTTGTAAATCTTATGCAAGAGGATCGCGACGCGACCGATTTGCAAGTCGCTCATGAAATCCTGGCACGCGTCGCTCCATGAAAACAATTCGCTAATGTTTCGAAGTAACTTTGGCGAATGGTAAACGTGCTCAGAATAATTTGATCATTGGGTATTGTATCATCCAGACAGGTAGGTATAGCTAACTACGTATGCAAAGACTAAAGGCGCATGTGCAATGTGGACACGTGCTATTCAAGATCCTCCCGCCCTGTCACGACAGTTTCGCATTAAGGATTCTTGAAATTGCGAAGGATTTGTGATCCACTACTCATGAATTTCCAGGAAATCAAACGTTCACTGCTTCAATCCTCTCCACTTGTTACATCTCTTGTCCTCGTTTCATAATTAAGCAGTTGGACGACCGGGTTGAAATTGCTCCAAATGCGATTGCGTATGAGGAATCGCGACGCGGCTTGGATTCAGGATTCGCCAATTATGCAAGATCACCTAGTAGCTGGGTGCGGTAACTACAGACTCTTTTTTTTTTAGATTAATTAAAATGAATGTAACAAATTTACCTGTGACTCTCGTCTTGTGACATCAGCCAGGTTTTGCTTAACCTGTGCCAATTCGTCTCTTAATAACTGAAGAGAGTGATCGTTAATTGATCTTTCTTGATCTGCAGTTTCTGTAGTGTTTCTTATTTGATCCTTGAACATCGTCAATTTCCGGTTCAAACGCGTCCTCAGCATCTCACTCTCTACAAGACGCTTCTGCAATTCCTCGATCTTTCTGCTTCGTTCAAGGGCGGCAATCTAATGAAGATCATTTATGGATCGTAAACAGATATCATTATCGGGATGATCTTTCATTATCTGACTACCTTGTAATCCGCGGCTTCCGTAAGCTGCGAACTAAGTTCACGATTCCTCGCTTTTTCCTCGGTCAACTGAGTTTGAAGTCGGTCCACCTGCTTCTGTAACTTCTTCGCCCTATACAAATTATTCATATTAATTATTTAAAATTTATTGACGAATCTTTTTTTTAAAGAGAAAATTTTTAACTACCGTAAATTCGCCTCATCGCGTTCTGTTTGTAACATCGACTTCATCCTGACGCTGTCGTCCTGGAGGGAGAGTTTCCGGCGCAGAAGGTCCAGGTGAAGATCTCTACGTTGAAGCTGCTCCCGGAGTGTTCTCACCCGTCTTTGCAGTTGGTAGACCACTGAAGTCTGCGAAAAAATTGACACAGTTCTTGCGTGAGCTTAGACCTAACGAAGTGATCAATTTTTTCATTGCTTTCCCAGGATTTTCACAGGTCGATTCGGTTATCCTGCCGAAAGGATCTGAATAATAATTTTTGTTTTGTTCTCATGAGCCTGCGCAAAAAGGACTAAGCTCTACCAAGGATTCACGTGCCTACGTCTTACTTCTTTCAGGTAAGGAAGCTCGTGGAACGACCGCTCCCGTCGTATCCTGGGAAACGTTGTGTAGTTGCGGCACAGTAGCTACGTATACGAGCGCAACAACAGAGATAAGGATTAATATTGGATACAGAGAATCATCGGGAGATACTTATTTATCTCGGACAATTTATCTTATTCATCACCTTGTCCACGAGCTTGTCCGTTTCCAATCTAGCTAGCTGCTCGGCTCGCATCAGAAGAGATTCAGTTTGGAGGTCGATTCCAACTTCTTGAGAAATTTCATCCATTTGCATTGCTTTGCCAAGTCGTTCCAGAAAGGTCATGAACTGTGAAATTTAATGGGAATTATTGATGCTCAATCACAAAAAAAGATTTATTTAAAATGGGATAATAAAAATTCTATTGTTACCGTCTGCTTATCTCTGCGCAAAGATTCTTTTGACAGCTCGCAGCTCGTAAGTTCAGCTTCCAATTTGCGAAGTTTTGCTTCGAGAGCCGCACGATCTTCCTCCAGTGAACGTGTCTTTACCATCGTCGTCTCAGCTAATTCTGTTTGACGATTTGCAGTCTCCGTAGTGAGATTTAATTTTTCTTTTAGACTTTGAATTTTCTGGGGAATAATTCATTGGTACTTGATATAATTATCTTGTTATCTAGATAAATTCATCTCACCAGTATTTGATCCTTGTTATCTGCAAGTATCTCTCGAATACGATCCTTAATGGCGTTTTCATTAGATTCGACGAATCTGTTAGGAGTGCTCAAGAGGATAGCCAGAGATTCCAAAAAATGCCGAAAGTCATTTTGAAGCCTTTGACCCTTTTCCTCACGAGCCTTTAAATCCTCTGTACGAATTCATATTAATGAGATATAATTCTATTTAAAATTGTTCAAAAAATAATTCCCTAGATTCCAACCTCTTAACTGACAAATTAAAGCTTCCTGATTTGATATATTTCCAGTGGCGCTAGTGATGCTTCTGTTAGCATTCACCAGCTTGTCTCTAAGTTCATTCAAATCCCTCTCAGCGACGCGGTATTGCATCTCCAAACATTCCTTTTCCTGCAGTATCAAATAAATGAAAACATATCATAATCTTAACGTTTGAAATTGCCACGAAGCAGCATGTGGAATCTAGGGTTTTTTGAAATCCTACCTGACGTAGTCGATCCAAGTCGACCAACTGCGCGCTGACTTGCCGTTGCAGCTGTTCCTTTTCCACGGTTACTCTGTCCAGTGCGTCTCGGCAATTTCTAAAATCCACCTCCACGTTCGTCAAGTGCGCCTCTACGTTTGTAGACTTGCTGCGTAAACGATTGACTTCCTGAACAAGTTCCTCGGCTTTGTGAATTGCCACGTCCGGACTGTAATGACTACTGTCAGTATATTCCACATTTAGAGCATGTGCCAATCTTCGTACAAAGTCCTGGATAAGAGGTTAGAATACGTATGACAGCAGAGTCCCGACAACGTGAGTACAGATTTCGTTATTATTAAATTGTATAACCTGGAGATTGAGACGTGCACGTTCCTTCAGTTGAATTTCCTCGGTGATGTTGTGTTCCAGCTGTCGAATTTTCTTGTCGTATTCCCTGATTTTGTCTTCGTGATACTTAACCTCTCTTTGAAGACCCTGTATAGTGATTTCATTGCGTCCTTGATTAGCATAGAGATTTCTCTCTCTGTCTTCCAACTCCTGAAATCAACTTACTAGATAACAAGTTATTTAATATTCTTTATATTATTTAGTAACTCCACGGACCTGTATTCTCTTCTTTAAACTGGAGATTACAGAATTCTGTCTTGCTGCTTGTTCCTTGAGTTGATCTGCTTCGACCTGGAGCTCTACGACCCTCTGGTCGCGTGACCTGACAGTGCTCTTCATTTCCTGAAGCTATATACTACAATGGTTAGTAAATTAAAATTATTAAATCAAATTCCATAACATTTTACCTCTGTCATAAGCCGATCACGTTTATATTCTAATGCCGCCAATTCGCTTCTAAGAGTGGTGGTTACGTCATGTGTCATCGCGTCTTCCGGATCGATCTGTATGATGGACATAAAATTATGAGGAAACCTGAGAAAAGTACAATTACAACAATTATCGTTTGTACTTACCTACACAAAGCTACGTGATATATCACAGATCATTTTACTACAAAAAAACACAGATTTAAAAGCATAAATCGATAATTATCGATAGATTCCAGAAATAGGGAAAGACCTTTGACATCTACACGGTTCTGACCTTTGACCTTACTCTCTATCTGAGAACGCAAAATCTCGTGGTAATCCTCATTCTTTTGAAAATCCCCACGATTTTTAACTTTACTCGTAAATCTTGATAAGCTCTTGGATACGTTAATCTCGTTATTTTCAAAATGACACGTACTGTATATGGTCACTCGATAACACAAATTATCGCACAAATTCACGTTCTAATACGATGATAATATATTGCAGTATAGAAGAAAAGAAAATTTATTTTTTTTAAACAAAAGTTAGTTTTTTACACGTAACAGGTGAACTTGACAGAATTTGCCCTAACATTATTTCCCACTAACATAAATTATCATGAAAGCACACTCTATGGTATTTGATTCTGTTGAATTCACCAGCAACCCCATAAATTCTGGTTATGAAGCACAAGTTAGGGTTTCACCATGAAAACTTTTTAAACTCATTTTTTTTATCTTCCACGTGAAATAGACCCGAAATTTTCATCCCCGTTATCAATATAGATAGCGCTTATCTGCTATAGTGAAATGTTTTATCATGATTCCTGTAGGCGCTATATAGGTGTGTTATTATATATTAAATATTAAATTTATATGTGTGTATATATGTATATATATATAGCCTTGCCTTGCGATATCATCCTGACATATACGCGAGGCTTCTAGCTTTGCGAAGAAAAGCGATCTGCACGAATTGGCGGTTGTTGCTTGAATACAAGATAAGTAGGTAAAGCTCAGTTCACAAGAAGATAAAGTTTACGTGACTCGAATGGTGCTATGCACGGAGAGACTCCTGCGAGTTACTATACAATAAGAAGGGTGCAAAGGGGGTAGCTGTTACTATAAATAAGTTCTGCATATCATGGACATTCGTACCCAGGAACCAGGAAAGAGCAGGTACCTGGTGTTTCAACTATTATGAATATATTGGAAATCAATTTTAGGCTTTGTCTCAGAAATAATATTTATTCGAATCGCTGAAGATTCAGCACTCCAAATTATTTGATCAATGATGGACGCTGTCCGTTTATTTAATACTTAATTATAAATACAAGATGTTCTCTATTGAATTTTTACATCTGTGGTCTTTGACCTCATGATAATTATTAGATTACTCGCGGCTCATAGACTAAGTTAAAAGTATATTTAAACTGTCATAGGATGAGACCCTTTGTTGATGGTAAAATCGTGCATTGCTGGTGAACACGATAGATACGGAAAACAGGTGAAATCGATTCTGTGCAACGCTATGGCAACCCACTCTTATTCTTCTACAGGTCAATATATTTGCTTTTACGCAATCTGTAGCAAGGTTATATCGAAGGGAAAATACGTATTTTTGGAATATGAAAAAATTGGAGCAATGACGTATATGTAATTAGATAATCTATTAGACAGTGGAGTGAAGTGTTGAAGACGGAAGTAAAATTTTATTTTTATTCGATTCGACTAAATTCACCTACATTTGTGCTTGTTTAGCGTGCGGATGGTGTACACGTGACTTATGGCATCAGGTGTCATTGGATTGGTGCAATATAATCAGGCGTACCAATAGTGAAGGGTTGAATGGTTGTATTAACGTAATTATTGTTAAACCTGCTGGGGTGATGAAATACACAGAGTTTCGAAGATTTTCAGATCCTCTTCCGTGTTTCCTGGTGTCTCTTTTGTTTCCTCCGTAGCCATTTTGCACTTTCTATTTGTTTATTCTTGGTCTTGTTGCTCTTTGATTAATGTCGTATTTTAAATTTGCTGCAACAACTTTCTTCAAGTGTCCTTTTTCGGGTAGAGATGATTATTGTAAAACATTTTCTAGCTCACGTTCTTCACCTGCTGTGACGGTTTTATTCGCTACGTTGATAGTACTGAGGTAGAAAAGCGCTTCCACGAACGATTGAATGTCAACACACGAAGCAGTTGTGTGGTCGTCGCCATTTCTGCTGAGCGTCGGCCTCAAGATAATCGAAGTTTATCGATCCAAGAAAATAACGCACGCTGCTCTTTGGAGAAAGATTGTTTTTATTGTTGCTAGGATAGATGGTCGATTGCAGACTTATTATGGGTACGTCTTATCGAAATTGGAAACAACGAAAGTAATAGATTTAATGTTGTTAATAAATTAATCATTAAACAATTTTATAGAAATGTTTATATTGTGTATTATGATTTTTAATAAAATGAAAAAACCGTTTAAACAATATATTTTGCATTGTGTTCAACTGGGTAATAGTAGAGATTTTTGCTCGAATGGTAATTAAATTGCGGGGTCGGTATGGCAGTCTTAGAAATTTTACGTCATCTACATTATTGATAATTGCTAAGGAAGTTCTGCTTCCGGTAGTAGATTTCTTCTATCGAAACCTATCTTGAATAATCTGTACTTTTCGTGGTTTCTTGTTGTAGGGTGCGCAGTTGCAAGGATGCCATTTCACCAGTTCAATCCGTTCACTGGTCGTCTAAAGCAAACCAACCATCTACAACCACTTTATCCACTTGTGAGTAAATTTTGTAAATGCTCAAATAATGTTCCGAGTATGATGTCAAATTTATCTGATTGTCATGCGATTTCTCGATATATCTAATTTTCATATGAGGGTACGGTCGGATGTGGGTCCCTACGAAGCAGACGATAGTCTCCATTTTCCCGAAATGCGTTACGACATCTTTTCAACACTAGATACTAATTGTATTCTATAACGTCAATAAAAAAAACTTTTATCATACGCGAAAACATGATATTTTCAAGTTCTGTCACATTTTATAAAACAGTCAAAAATTCAGCAATTTAACCTATATTTGGAACGCCCTGCTCATGTAACAGGGTCGTCGTGGATAAGTATACATTTATATTGGCGATTGAAGGAATTCTCTTAATTGTAATGCAAACCTATTATGCTTGATATAATATCTATAATTCTGAATGGTTGTTTTTTTTTTACAAGGGACAGGAATCTATAAAGGAGCTTTTGAATTAATTCATTTGATGTTATTGAACTATGATTCTTTTTTCTAGGCACCACATCCACTGGAAAAAGCAGAACCACCAAAGATGCTGTGGGACTCAATGTTGACGAAACCTGCAAAGGTTGGACCTTCGGTCGGTGTTGCCCGCTTCTCGAAGGTGGATCCAAAACTTCTTGCTAAATACAAGAAATTCCAGGTGAATAAATCAATGAAGTTTCTGTTTAATGAGTTAATATATAATAATATGATAATTATTTCATGTTTCAGGAACCCAACGGCATTCCTGTATACCTTAAAGGAGGTCCAATGGACAAAGTACTAGTTGGTCTTACATTTGGGTTAATTGCTGTCGGTTTGGTTCAATTTGCTGAGTTTGTCTATAAGGAAGCAAATGGTATTAAGTGGGAAAAGTGATTTAAATATTTAGAAACAATACAGAGTCATGTGTAGATATACATTCGTAATGTATGAGCATCGAAGATGATGATCATAAAAGTTATTTGTAAAAATTTGTCTTTTTATCATAAAACATCCTCCCAGCTATTCCTACTTGATGGAATCTATACCATTTTTTAATATATTTCCATTGTACAGCATCTTTCATATGTATAGACATTTTACAACTGAAAACCAAAAATTGACTGAAGTATGAGTTCTTTTCAATATTTTAAAATCCTATTATAATGCTGAAACAGGTTGCATATTCATAAAATAGTTTAGAAGTAGCTTAACCCATTTGCATCATGAACCTATTTAAGGTCGCGTTTGCAGGCATCAACAACGTTCAGTTGACGATTGGCCCATATCATCGCACGCGGTCGGTCGTAGGTGCAGTAAATGATATCTAATTTGTTCATAGAGTTTATTAAAAATGTACTGCTTAATACGATTTGTACAAAATGTTGCATCGCAAATATCGCATTTTACATTTTATTAATACAGAGGAAAAACGGGAAAAACTATTTACATTAAATAAAAATTACCACTAATTATTGTTCGTGGAATTCTTTAAAGTGATCAATACATAATGGTACATCGCAAACATGGCATTTAAAGACTGTTTCTCTTCGAATTGATTTAGATAAGCATGCAACGCATCGCTTTGACGTTCTGTTTCCCTTTGCTGGAGTTGCAGGTATCCTTATAGGAAAATGCCTGCCAGTATATCGCGTTATCGAATCATTGATGGGTGCCTCACGTACTTTTATATTTGGTAAATATTGCCTAATAATTTCTTCGGCTAATAGTTGTTTGTAAACATGAAAAGCTTGATCTTTTTTATGATTTTTAAAAAGTACGTAACTGTTTAGTAACATCATGTCTATGAAGTAAAAAAATATTTTCTTATAGGCTTTTTTACATCTTCGCATAGTATGAAAGTTACTTAACATTTGATCGCCAACATCAACTCCACTCATATACTGATTATAATCTATTACTACTGTTGGTTTCATACATTTTTGTCCTGTATATCGGTTTGTTTTCCCCGTTTCAGCAAAATCTAAGCCATGCATAGTTGTTAGTAAAACGACATCTTTTTTATCCTTCCATTTTATGGCCGCCATATCTCTTGTAGAAAATACTACAGCTTCTCCCTTTTGTAATTGGTATAATTTTAGTTCCCGAGGCATTTGTTTGCTATTTATTCTAGCTATTCCACATACGTTTATTTCCATTTTATGTAATTCTCGATATAAGTTTGGGGAACTGTACCAATTATCAATAAATAAGCAATATCCTTTGTGCAATAACTTACACTCTCTCAACAAATTCATCACAACATTTCTGCTAGTAGATCCAGTATCAGTCTTATCTTTTTCTATATATATATTAAAACTCTGTATATATCTAGATTTCGAATCACACAGTCTATAAAGCTTAATACCAAATCTCGCTCGTTTTGTTCGAATAAATTGTATATAATGTAAACGGCTTCTACATTGCATCAATGACTCATCAATTGAAATGTTTTTATGTGGTACATACATGCGAATGAAAGTCTTTTTTACTACTTCAGAAACTTCTCGGATTTTTGTGAGAGGGTCATCAGAATTATTATTACTGGAAAAATCCAGATTTTTAGCGATAGAGACAAATCGGGTACGGCACATAATATTCTTAAAATATGGTGTTTCTATGCTTTTATCTGTGGACCAATAACTCTGAATAGTGGGCTTAGAAACTAAACTCATTAAAATGTTTAAAGCAATAAATACTTTTAGTTCACCGTCTGTAAGAGGAATAAAATTTTTGTCGGTTGCTCCATGTTTATTTGTCTCTGTAATTAGTTTTGTAACTAATTCTTTGTTAAAAAATAATTCAAAGACTTTCCTTCTCGACAGATTTTGAGTATTTAGAGTTGCACCACCCACACTTGAAAAATTATGTATAATTGGCGTATGATTTTCGGCTTTCCACACGTAATCTTCATTTATAAAACTGCCGCACTGATCATCTTCGCTGTCTTCACTTGATGAAATCCTACGGATACGTTTCCGAGTATGTCCTATTTGTATACTTGAATCCGAATCGTCAAGATAGTCAAAATCCATTGGGGCGACTAAATTTTAATTTAAATTAGAAAATTAGAAAATTTTTTAAATTTCAATTTGTTAAATTTAAATATAGATTGGCAGCACTTACTCATAGTTGCAGTTAAAAAGATTTTAACAACAGAAGTTGAACTTGTTTAGAATATAATGCTTAGAGATGCTTATAAACGTGATCTGTGGCATCTGTAGAATATTTAGCGACTGGTAATAAAGAGCAGTCGCAGGCTAGCGGAATATTCTGCGCTTGGTGATACAAAACAGTCACGGCGCGCGGAATATTCTGCGCTTTGATGCAAATAGGTTAACATCTGTATTTATCGACAATGGTTTAAAAAGTATTAAACGGGATATTAAACTTTCGGTTACTTTCGGGTTTCCGAAGCGCTTCGAGCCATCTGTTGCTAAGTTATAAACCAGACTAGTAGTACTATCATTAGCTGTCAAGTAATCAGGTGTTCTGAATTGTATTATAGTTTCACATGAATTGTTCGCACAATATAATAAAAAATGAAGGAACCTCCGAGACAAAGTATAATATTTCACCCAATTATATCATCAATTCAAAAAATAGCTCTATATGAAACAAAATCTGTAAGTTGCTCAGTAACCTATAATGTCACTGATACTGTACTGTTGAATGAATATGTCCAATATTCTTCTGTATTATTATTAATATTTTATTAGAGATTTTACCTGATGGGTTCAAACAATACACAAACTCGTTTCCGTGTACTGAAGATTGACCGAATGGAGCCAAGAGAATTGATAGTTGTTGATGACAAGACTGAATACACCCAGGATGAGATTAAAGATCTTGTAAACATGATAGATATGGGAAACCGTAATCGAGCAGGCCAGCGTAGCAACGTTAGTGGAGTTGCAAGAGTAGTCTCAGCTTTTGGCATTATTGGTAAATGGCTCAGTACATTATGTGCATCATTAGATGATAGCAAGAAACTGGATCGGGTACTGGGTGCAAATTGTTATGACTTGGTTGATTGGTTCACAAGTATTGAATATAAAAATTAAAATTCGTAACCAACCTTGCATGTAAAATACTATGTGTAAGAGATTATGACATATATATCATGTGTTTCATTTGTATCAGATGGTGACGGAGCCAAAGTATCAAAATATGATGTGTTAGAGTAGAATTCTCACTCTGTTTTATAAGTTTATATCTTCTTCTTTATCATTATAACTTCCATTTAATATAATTGCACAGCTAGGGTCTCTTGTGTTTGCATGCATTCACGCATTACTATATTTGTACAGTAAGCACAAATGATATGCTTTATGAAATTAAAACTGTATGATAGTAATATGCTATTGATTTGACTACTTGAGTATTAACGCTGTGCTGCGAGAGACCTAGCTTACTTATGTTTGCTTGCTAACAAAGGCAGCAATAATAATGGACCGATACACGAGGAGGGAGATGACGAGGAACAAGAGACCTCTGAAAAACCAAAGCATAGACCGACTCAAACTAGGTTTACCTGGAAGACAATGTGGGAGAGGGATACATTCCCCAGGCTAGTACCAGCATTTGGTCTACTTGGTAAGGCTTGTTCAGCTTACTAAGCAGTACTTAAGACCCAATGCATAACATACGCGCGCGTGATTAATCGAATAATGCGGTACGTATGTTCACTCACTTCCGCATGATTTGATAATAAATTACGTCCGCATGAAAATTCTACTTGTCTTGTAATTAATGTATAGTAGGCATGAGTTTCGATCCTGTTTCGTGCACAATGTAGGTGGGATGGTTCTATGGGCAGTTGTCAAAAATTATAATTGCAAAACAATAGTACCAAATTCTTAAACCATTCTCCCGTGGACACTTGTAATAATTAGATATTTTGGTTTCGTCTCAGGATTCGTGCGCTTTCTGGAGGGATATTACATTATCTTGGTGACCAAAAGAAGAAGAGTTGCAGTGATCGGTCACCACACGATATATAAAATAGAAGACACCTCAATGATCTACATTCCAAATGACACAGTCCGTCTTTTTCATCCTGATGAGCAGCGATACGTCAAGATGTTCCAGAGTATCGACCTGAGCAGTAATTTCTACTTCAGTTATTCCTATGATCTGACTCATACGTTGCAGCACAATATGGCTCCGCCAAGACACATCAAATCTGATGTGCCTAGAGATCTAACGTCTCAGGATGCAATAGATTCAGAAGATACAGAGGAGTCTGAGGATTTTTTCAATATGTGGGCTTTGCGAAAAGATTGGCAGAATAATGGGTCAGTATAATTTTTGATCCTAAGTAACAAATACCAGGAATTTGTTAACATTAATATTTCTAGCTATGGAGAGAGATGCATAGATTATGGTATACGTAGTAATCCTCACCGTCGATTCGTATGGAACTCCCATCTCTTAGCACCTGTGGAGAAATATCTTCACCGCGATTGGAATCTGTACGTCATTCATGGATTCATTGGTCAATCAAATATCAGTATATTTGGAAGATCAATGTATGTGACCATAATTGCCAGAAGGAGCAACAAATATGCCGGTACCAGATTTCTAAAGCGTGGAGCAAACTTTGATGTATGTATCACGTTGATATTGCCTCCCCCCAGTGCCTTTATTAATTATTAAGGATTCTTCATCAGGGTGATGTAGCAAACGAAGTCGAAACTGAACAAATAGTACACGATTCCGGGGTCAGTTCATTCAATAATGGCAGATTTAGTTCATTTGTACAAATGCGGGGGTCAGTTCCAGGTCATTGGCGGCAAGATGTTAGTAAAATGGTACCAAAGCCTACAATAACTTGCGATTTGACAGATCCTTATGTAGAAACAGCAGGTAGGTTCAGGTAGAAATTAGGAGTAAAAAAAACTATTCACAAATATTAGATATAAAAAAATAATCGTTGATTAATAAATTTCTAGGGGCACACTTTAATCAGCTTCTCAAGCGATATGGTTCGCCTATTATTATACTGAATCTTGTGAAGAAACGCGAGAAAAAAAAACACGAAAGCACACTGAGTGAGGAATTGAGTATGGCTGTGAAATATTTAAACCAATTTCTACCACCTGAGCATCAAGTGCATTATATAAGTTTTGATATGGCGCGCATGAACAAAGGGTGAGGATCGCCGACAAAATGACGTCTCAAGACTAGGGAGGAATTTTATGCCGTCGTTACTTTTCAGAAAGGAGGCGAAAGTCATGGGTCGTTTAGCGAACATAGCGCACAATGCTGTATTAAAAACTGGAATATTTCTGTCACAGAATCCATATTACAGTCAGAGAAATTTGTTCACTCCTGTGAGTAATAATAAGAAACCCCATAAGGCAGATTATAATTCAATTATGTCTACAACTGCGCACGAATCAAGGAATTGGAATGGAGATTCCGGTAGAAGTGGTAATACCTCCGTTTCCGGTTTTGAATCTAAATCGTTCACCGATTTGGATGATTCCACTTTGTTAGTTGAGAATAAAATTCGAGAGTATTTTGCAACGCGTGGTACCGTCCAAACTGGTATCATTCGTACGAACTGTGTAGATTGTTTAGACAGAACCAATACTGCACAGTTCGCTATTGGAAAATGTGCATTAGGTTTTCAATTATGTGCCTTGGGTGTTTTGGTATCACCAAAATTAGAATTTGATTCTGATTGTGTTCGAATGCTTGAGGAACTCTATGAGGATCATGGTGACACTCTGGCCTTGCAATATGGAGGATCTCAGCTTGTGCACAGAATAAAAACCTATAGGAAAACGGCACCCTGGACCAGTCAGGGGAATGATATTATGCAAACGCTGAGTAGATACTTCAGCAACACCTTTAGCGATCAAGAAAAGCAACACACGATCAATTTGTTCTTAGGTAATAATTCTAGATAGTAACTTGCTTATAGCAAATGATCCATAATAGCCGTCACTTGTATAAAAATGAAATTTATACAGGATTATTCATTCCTGAGGAGGGTAAGCCGCCAATATGGGAATTATGGACGGATTATTACCTTCATCATAAACCTGCTTGCCGATATACTCGCAAAACCAGATTATTGACTCAGTGGTGGGATAAAAATGTTGGAAAATGTCTTCCTTATGCGTTGAACGAAGTTACAAAAACTTGCTCGGAAATGATACAAGTTCAACATACGCAGGAGGAGATGGTCGATGTATTTTATGATTATCACAGGTAGGTATCTAATGGCACGAGAAGGGGCACTGTAAACGTACTAGGAAATAGGAAAAAGAATTATGAAACATTTTCAGGCCTTACGAATTGTCGTTACTGGCAGAAGTACATGCCTACAAAATAAGTCATTCCGTTCGGGACTTTATGCCGCATTTTACGACAAACTATAGTCCGTTCGCTGTGCGCGTACGTCCTGGTAGAAGAAGAGAAGAAACTGGCAATAAAAATGTTAATATGAAAAATCCATCTATGACTGGACAGAGCAGTACTAGTAGTACTGCCTCTAGTGCAAGGTAATTAATAGATAATGAATAATTTTATAGTTATTGTATATCTGTTTTTCTTTGTTTTTGTAGTTCCAGTATGGATTCAAGTTCAGATGACGATGAGAGTCATCATCGGATCAATGATATGCAGTTAAGTTCATCGAAGGACAGCAGTGAGTTGGTGTCATTCGAGAATCTGTTTCCATCTATGAAAGAAGTTTATGGAATGCAGCTAGAATATCCAAAGAGAAGTGATATCACATTGTATAAAAGGTATTGTTGAAACTTGCATTGATAAAGTGGTAGTTTGGTAATAATGAAGTTGTTAATTGTTTCAGATTTGTTTTGATTGGCAAGAATGCTACTCATTCAATGGATTATACTAAATTAAAGTCTAGACTCCTACAACAGACTTCGTTTCGAGATACTGTTACTGCTAAAATAACTATTCCTGTTGTTAAAGATACCAGCATAAGTATCTATGAGCAGTACGTGAATAGGGGAAAGGTATGTGGTTCGTTTTTACAAAACGTGGTCACTTTTTAATAAATTTTTGTACTGTTAAGGTTGGAGGTTCAGTTCCAAGTCCTACTGATATGAATCTGTATGACAAGTATGCTCAGCAACAAAAAGAGCTTATGGGATTAATCAACGTTTAAGCCATTGTAAAATATTTTATCTGCTACATATTACCCAATCTAAACATCCGGTTGTTTATGTACCAAATGATGATATGTTGAATAAATTAATTCCGTGTTGAATGAATCAATTCCGTGTATAATTGACTGCTCAGATTTTATTTGAAGCAAGAATGACTGTTTACAAAATCACAAACATATGCATTTCTTGAAAAATAAATACATATTCTTCGTGACTTGTAAACGTAGTGGGGGCGTACGCTTATTTTGGCTTCTTTTTGGGGCGGATATTGTTCGTGTGACCGCATTTCTTCTTGCGACAGTTGGTTGCGCGTGGATGAAGGCGAGCATAGCACTTACGACAAACCATTTTGTCCTGGTTGTACTTTCGGGCAAGGATAAGAAGGGTGGGTTCAATTACACCACCACGAAGACGGAGTACCAAGTGAAGAGTGGACTCTGAAAATAAATAATAAGCAATGAAGATCATTGTCCATAACAATACTATAAGCCTGCTAATAATGTATCCTTACCTTTCTGGATGTTATAGTCGGATAATGTACGACCATCTTCCAGCTGCTTGCCAGCGAAGATAAGACGCTGTTGATCCGGAGGGATACCTTCCTTGTCTTGGATCTTGGCCTTTACATTTTCAATAGTATCGGAAGCCTCAACCTCAAGGGTGATAGTCTTGCCCGTTAGGGTCTTCACGAAGATCTGCATTGTGGCTCACCTGGTGGTAATGAAAAAAACTCTAATAATAATTAATTTCATAAGATTTGATTGAATACATGAAGCTATACCTAACTTATGACATTTAGTAAAAGGACGACGCTTGAGTCTGAATCTATAAACTTCCCGTTATCCCCGCCTGCTCCAAAAGAAACCGTATAAACTACAGATTTTGAGAATTATAGATCACTGAATATCCGTAAAAACCAGAAAATTTCGTTATCGACATCCTTTTCCATTAACGTGTGTATTGGCAACGCAATGATCATGCGATTGTTTCTCGAGCGCATTTTGTTACAGCGATTGTTGTCCACCATTTTTTGATTAACAAAAACGCGTTGGAAAATTACAAAATCAATAAAATTTTATTTAAAACAGATTCCTAACAGATAAAAATACAATAAAATATTACCAGCTCATAATCCTGGAACGTGGTTGCCACAAAACCTCTTCACGAAAAGATTCGATGCTATAAGCGCTTCGACTTCCGCGACGAAACTTAAGGTGCTTTCCAATTGAAATATCACTAGACCAATGGTAGGCGATTGTCCTACTGGCTTAGTTTCCACCGTACAGAGTTAAACAGAGTTAAGCAGCCTCATTGGTCAATCAACTCCTATACGTTATTGGTTAACTCTGTTTAAACTTTGCACGGTGGAAACCACTAACAAGGGAGGACGCGAGCTTGGGATCACGGATTTAGGAGTCCTTTTGGGGTAGGAAAGTACTTTGTAATAACAAACTGCAGGCCAAGTGGCAGGACGCAATTCGAACCCGTTTTCGAGAAAAACCGGTTAGAAAAACGCAGAACTACTCATATACCTGTACCGTTGCCAATTTTTTCGACAAGGCGACGTTGCTCAGAGGCAGCGCGCCTGACTAGCACCCGAGTGGCCAGGGTTCGATTCTCCCATCACACGTATTTTTTTTTAATATTAATTCTTTTTTTTTGCTATCCGACAAGCCATGTTTATCTATTAACAATTTTGTCAATTTACGTACAAAATGAGTGCATTGGAACACTATTATTTTTCATTATCAGACACTGGTTTACATCACACATCGTATGTTTGTTTCGAAAATAGTTGTACACTCTTGTCAACCCCTGCATACTTTACTGTTTGTAAAACTTTTGTACTTGCTTGTAGATCCTATGTTTTTAAATGTGTACGAAATTAACTTTCTTCTGTCACTATCAAAAGAACATTGCCATTGCAACGAACAAGAAGTTGCATTCATAAAATGTGTATGGTGTGAACTGTGACGTGATTTTTCGAATCACAGTCCCAAGGCAGCTCCGGTTACCGATACAGATAACGTTTTAGATTTCTGGTTCCCTTCGGGTCGCCACTCTGCTCAGAAACATCAGTGTCTGATAATGAAAAATAATAGTGTTCCAATGCACTCATTTCGTACGTAAATTCATAAAATTGTTAATAGATAAACATGGCTTGTCGGGTAGCAAAAACAATAATTAATATTAAAAAAAATATGTGTGATGGGAGAATCGAACCTTGGCCGCTCCGGTGGTAGTCAAGCACGCTTCCACCGAGCTACACTGTCTTCTCGAAAACATTGGCAACGGTGTAGGTATATGAGTAGTTCTGCGTTTTTCTAACCGGTTTTTCTCAAAAACGGGTCCGAGTTGCGTCCTGCCACTTGGCCTGCAATTTGTACAGTACTTTCCTACAAAGTACTTTCCTACCCCGAAAGGACTCCTAAATCCGTGATCCCAAGCTCGCGTCCTCCCCTTGTAAGTTGTAGAAAACTGGAGGCCGTCTAGACAGAGATAGCGAGGAAACAGGCCAATGTATTAGGCTATCTCTATCATACACTGTACAGTATCTCAAAAAGTTTAAGTTGAGATAAAGCACTGCGAACGGGGATGACTAAACCAACATAATCCGAAATAATGGCACAAATATTTTATTTTGAAGACTGCTAAGTGTTTTGTTGGCCTTTCTTACATAGTTTTACAAATTAATTGACCGCAGTGAAGAGTGTACTTGTATCTCACTGCTCGCTTCATCGCACCACGGCTGGCACTGATGTCGGCAAGACATTTTTGCAAGGCTCGTACACCACATGTGCAGTTCAATTCGAAAGACAACCTGCTACAGAGTGTGAGATAGTAGCACGCTACAGGGCTACCTTCGAATACAGGCGTACAACCTAAGCGTATTTAATAGTGAATTTCAGATATAGTGAATATCCAATTACTTGTGTACCAAATTATGCAATTATATTACTGTATATAATTGGTTGCTTAGATTTTATTTAAAGCAAGAACAAGCGTTTACAATATCACAAATGTATGCATTTCTTGAAAAATAAATACGTATTCTTCGTGACTTGTAAACGAAGTGGGGGCGTACGCTTATTTTGGCTTCTTCTTGGGACGGATATTGTTTGTGTGACCACACTTCTTCTTGCGACAGTTGGTTGCGCGTGGATGAAGGCGAGCATAGCACTTACGACAAACCATTTTGTCCTGGTTGTACTTTCGGGCAAGGATAAGAAGGGTGGGTTCAATTACACCACCACGAAGACGGAGTACCAAGTGAAGAGTGGACTCTGAAAATAAATAATAAGCAATGAAGATCATTGTCCATAACAATATTATAAGCCTGCTCATAATGTATCCTTACCCTTCTGGATATTATAGTCGGATAATGTACGACCATCTTCCAGCTGCTTGCCAGCGAAGATAAGACGCTGTTGATCCGGAGGGATACCTTCCTTATCTTGGATCTTGGCCTTCACATTTTCTATAGTATCGGAAGCCTCAACCTCAAGGGTGATGGTCTTGCCCGTTAGGGTCTTCACAAAGATCTGCATTTGTAGCTCACCTAGTAAATAATAAAAAATCTCTAAATAATATCAAGATTCCTGATAGAATATATGAAGCTCTACCATCATGCTACAGCCTAAGGAAATATTCACAAACCAATGTACAACGCGTGTATCTAATGCATTACACTTCTGATTCACCAAATCTTTTATGGACTGCATTCAAATTGTACTAGTTTGCGCAAGGTCGAAAGGTACCTTATGACATTTATTATTTATTAAAAGGATGAATGTTAAGGCTGAAACTAGAAACTTCCCGCTTTTCCCATGTGCTCCAAAAGAAATCGTACAAAATAAAGAGATTTTCAAAAACAGAAACTAGTCATCAACAGCTTGTCACATGTACGCGTATAGTGACAACCTAATGACTCTGCATTGTTTCTCGAGCGCAATCTGTTAAAACAATTGTTGTCTACCATTTTATCTATTAAAAAAGACGCATTGAAAAATTACAAAATTAATGGAAATCTATTGAAAACAGATCCCTGACACATAAAAATACAGTAAAATATTACTAACTCACCGATTCGAAACGTGGTTGCTACAAAATATAGGAAAAAATCAACGCTAGTAGCGCTTCGACTTCCGCGATTGAACTTAGAGATGAAAAACCGGAAGTCAGCTCTCTAGCGCTATCTGGCGGTAAAATATGTGGCACTAAAATTCCTACTCTAAACGACGGAACGAAATGGAACAGTGAACATCTGGAATTTGAAAATTGCACAGTATGCAATGCGCAGTTCTATTATTACATATTGCTACCATCACATATTACGTTAAACTGTTAGTATACCGAATTACAGTAATTAGTTTTATTTCTATCATAACCATGTGAATATCAAAATCGGTACCGGTAAACATAATAATGAATTCCGGGTGTCCCAAGTTAGTTGTTATTTAAGGATGCCATTGTAGAAGCAGACAAAGAAGACACTGAAGAAGAGCAGCATCGTTTGGAATTGATTCAAGGCGGTGATATTTCAGGAGATAGAGTGTCGTCGCACACCTTCACCAGTAATCCTGGGCAATATCGGAGTAAGGGGCGGTAAGTTCGACCATAAATATGAATTTTAAAGAGAGTAACAGGCACGGCAAACTAAAAGGATAGAAGGATGAGGAAGCTGAACGGTGGGGAGTCTTGGCGAGGGCATAAATTTGCCAAGACGCAAGGCGCCCTGTTAAAAGATGAACGTAATACGAGAATAATAGCAAGAGCATTACCGCGATAAGCTCCGATACGGCACGCGGGTAATGGTTATTGCGAATTTATGCGACGAAATGCCGTTGTTGACTTTGCGAATATTGGAGGCGTTAACCACCCGTCGTCACTTTCCATGTACCGAAATCGTCTTAACGAGAGTCGCTTTAGTATTTAAAGACGTCTGTCTTAATTCATCCCAATGAGAAGAGTTCGCTTAACTCCGGCAGCCATTAAACGAGGCATTTTCGAAAGTCCCAGAATGCGAGCCACCCTGGAGCTCGAAGTAGAAAGGCTCTTTGGATTTTCGTTATTTTCCTCATTTCTTCATAGGTCAACGCAAAAATACGCAATACCAGTATGGAGATTGAATTACGAGATTACTGCGGATTCCTTCATAATGAATTGTCGATTAATAATGCATAGATAATATTGAATATGACTACGTTTTCCATTCACAGGATGTCAAAAATTACGAAAACCGCGGATTCACGTCTGTTGTGGAAAACCTTGCCTGGAGCAATTTTATATTTATAGAAGATAATCTCGGGCTGCCCTCGTCTAAATACAAGACTGGAGCATCATGCAAATTTCAGTGGTAACCCTTAAACTTTGCATCCTGACCTAGATGTCTCCCGATGTTTTACTACGTCGTCGACAGGACATCTACGAGGGTCGTGTAGCATTTCGTGACACAGATCCCAAACCCCCTTTTCATCTTCAACTGAACAGCCAACGACTGTAAGAACATCGGACGGATTGATCTATGAGGAAGATCTTAAGTCAGAAATCTGAATTTACTCCTGGACAAGCAGCATGGCTATTCTAACTCTGATCAATAATTTCGTTTCGAGAATGTCAATCAATCACACGAGAGAAGCCTAGACAGAGCAAGAGGGACGGATGGATAGACGTCCATACAGACAGATAGAAATGGAGATGTATAGTTAGCGAGAAAGATAGAGAGAGAGAGAGAGAAAGTGAAGAGACTATAAGCAAAACGGCTATGAACTCACAAAACGAATATACGTAATCCCGATAAAAATTCCATTTTTCGCGTAGAAAATACATCAGCTTTATCGCAAACCGTATTGCGACCTGACTAAATGTTGTCGTCAAAATTTGCGACGAAATGACAAAACCCATACGTAGGCGGCTTGGCTTTCCATTGGCGTGCATCTATTTGGATAGGCGGTAAAAACCAACGTGGTCGAGAGCTCGTTTACTGTTTTAATTAAACAATATGGCTTTTCCGTTGAATAATGTTCCCTGGACAGTTATACCAATCGGTAGACAAAAATAATGCATTCAATCCGTTTTCTGGGACGCATCTCCGATAAAGTCTCGTATAGTATATTATATGTATATATATATTATATCGATGTGTAACGTTTTCCAGGGCGTAGGCAGCGTCAGCAATCTTACGGCAACCCAACTTCACCAGGAGTTCTAGCAGAAAGTTTCCGGGTGCCTATATACTATACAATATGGCTACCGCACGCCTACAGGAGCAGGGATCAGGCATAAGCCTGAGTAACGTATTCATCGACAAAGCTGCCAGAGCAGCATCCACTTTTTTCTGGTACGATCGACCCATGTGAACCGTCATGGCTATTTAATGCGGCTTAGCTGAACGTGAACCATTCCAGGCGGTGCTTGGAGTTGACCTGCTTGCGCCGTTCGAGAATATCGTTCTCGGGTCCAGATCGAAATTAGCGGTCCTGTCAGACCCAGCCACCGTGTCCATTCGATCCGGCGTAAATCTACCTCTGCAGGACTGACAAGCCTGGATCCTCGTGCCGTAAGGAACCTAGTATGTATCTTTTTAAATTATTAAAAAAATATTGTAAGTTAGATATCCGAGTATTATTAGGGTAATATTGTAATTGTTATTTCTGTGAAATTTATTTGTTTTCGAATGACCGTTCGCTAAGAAATTAATTTGAAAATTTAATCGTTCCGACGTCAGAGCGTCTGGCACACGTGGGAGTGGTATGTACGATACCTTCTCGTCGATACGGGGGTTTACACGGGAGTATTATTAAATTACGTTTCGATATTGGAATTATTGGGGATTAATGGCTGTATTCGTTGTTCCTGGCGGCGCAAAAAGCCCCCCTTCTTTTTACCATCATGTCCTCGATTTTTCTTCCTTACTCCTGTATCCCCCGCTGCCGCCATTCTCTCAATCTATTTATCGTTCTCTCGTTCAGTCGTTTCTCTCTGTATCTCGATAATTCCACGCCACGTTGCTGCGAGTTCGTGTAAAGGGTCTCAATTTTTGGAAGGACGTCTGCTTTAATTGAAGGCGTTATTTGCGACCGGCTGCTTTATTGTTTTTCTCGACTGTAGCTTCCTTCCCTTTTCCTTTACTCTGTTTTTCATCATCTTCTTCTTTTTCTACTTTCGCCTTCCTCCATACGTGCCAGGATAAATGCGCATTTCCACAAATCATTTTATCTCCGTAACCCATTAAACCTACCGACGCAAAGACGTCTGCGCTATACGTGAAACACTTTTCTTGCCATCGATGAAGATTTGTGAGCTGGTTATATATTGTTTTATCTACGCTTAAAGTCCTGAAAGTACCCACTGTTACGTACGTCACCAAGTTTATTCCTGGACGATATTCAATACAATATTTGAATTATGAAATTATAAAGTTTTATTAAGAAAGAAATATTTTTCAGGTACTGGAACAAACAAACATTGACTCGAGTAGCTCCTGGGGAATGCATAGGCAGTCGAACTGTTTATATGAAAAAGATATACGAAACGCCAATAAAGTGGGATGATATTGAGAAATTTGAAAAATTTTTATAATATTCAAAAACCATGAAATTTTACAAACAAATAACTAAAATACAAACAATAGTGGTTGAATGAAATTAAGTTTTTTTTTTACATCTACATTTTCTTTAAATTCTCCCATTTTGAATGGCAGTAACAAAGTCTGTAGCTGTATACGTACATTTAGGTATAGTTTGAAAAGTTTGCTTTTCAGTGTCGAAGATCTTGTCTGCTGTAGATGAGATGGCACATTCGCGGTATGATTAAAGTACCATCAACTCAATTAATATTCGATAAACTTGTTAAGGTAAATATTCACCGTCCTCTCACGTCCCCCTCGCGAATCCTCGAGTTACTTTTAAACTTGCCGATTTGCAATCTACGCAGAATGCATTAAGGGTCCGGGTCCTTGATTGACTTTTGAAGTACGCGCCATTGGTTACTGTAAAAATATTTATGCGATAATTTTCGTTGTTTCATAGGGAATTAATGTCTTTGTGAAAATTGGAAATGGATGCGTGAGCAATGACGTAAGACTCCTCACAAGAAATAATCCTGGAATTATTTCATTGTAGAAGTCATGTTGACGCTTTCGTAATACGTTTAATCTCTGCAGCGTTTCTACAGGGTGTACAAATAATTATGGTGCAAGCTCATCCAAATTGGCATAAAATATCAAACATTTAGTATACCGTCCTTTATTTCATTTGGCTGACAATTTTGATCTCGACTCTTCCCGTTGTGTTTCATTTGAATTTTAATGCAATTCATTTTCGTTTTACGACCAGCTCTCGTTTGACTTCACTACATCCAGTTGTATTGCTTTTGTATATCGTTTCCTATTCCTGTTTACGTATAAACGCTCCGCTGTGAATATTTATCGATCTCCATGGTGACAGCCATTTACAAATATTTTCTACTTCAGGATCTTTCTTCGGAACCATCCATTTTCTCAGTCGCAGACGTTCCTGACGTCATGAATCACCGGGCGACTACGCTTTCATGCAGAGTAAAAAGTTAACCAAATTTTCTACTGACGTAACAACCAGTTTCTTCGTTCAATGTAATTCCGATTTACTATGGAATACCGATTTTGCTTTGCAATTTCATGTAACGCACGTGCGCTCACATATACGCGGGCGTAAACTTTGGCCGCAAACCGCGAATCAATACAGTCACGTCGAGATGATCGAGTATGCGAAGAGTAGCACGTAGTCACATGGGACTTCTGTAAACTGTATGTACGTCTATATTTTAGGACCTGATTTTCACTGATTTCCTAGGACAATGCAGTGGGAACGTATCTACATGCATGTGCGGATGCAGCTGCAACTTCGTAAAGAAGTGCAAGAAAAAAATGCAACTGAATACATAACGGAATCGTCTCTAGTTTAAGTTCTTGCATACTGAGTGGGCAAAATTAAATCATTAACCTTCCATACCCTGATGTTAACTCTCTCCTATGTAACTGAAACTGCAAGCATACAATTCTGGTCATTTGACATCTGTCAATATTTGTCATGCTAGTAACTCTGGCTGTCAAGAACAAGTAAATTAATATATACCCGACTAGTCAGCGTTGCAGTAAAAGGCAGCATTACTTCTTAGATGGATTTTTTAAGTAAAGGGGAATAAATGTACTAGGGGTAAATTGAGTCGCTGTCGACCAAGGGGTGCAAAATAAAGGGTAGGGATAGGAAAAGTTCAATAATTTTGTATTGGCTTCCTGATTAATACTGTTTTACCAATAAGTTTTTACTCTTGTTTGTTTTTGCATAGGGAAAAAATTTGCAAGTAGTATAAGAGAGGGGATTCCAAATACAGATTCCTGCACGGACATTTACCGACACTTCGAGGGCCTTCGACGGTTCGCATCCATGCTAAATTGACGACGGCGACTCCCCTTATTTCAAGGAGTGACGTCACGAGGATCGCCGGTTTAGCATGGATGCGAATCTTCGAAGAGTCTCGAAGTGTCGGTGCAGAAATCTGTGTTCAGAACCCCCTCCCTTGGTATAAGGGAGATATCCCTCCATTGCAGATTCAGATTCGCAAAGTTCACCGCAAAGTAAATAGAATTCTATTGGAACGAAACCGACTCGATTTTTGTATCATTGTAAAAATTTGAAAATTGATTTCAAGCTGATTTCCAGCTGGAGCAAAAGGTACTGGAATATTTGGAAGGTATAACTGGTATTAGATCTTGCGATATAGCGTTACTGTGCCGTTTTATTCGAATTGGTAAATTCGCTATTTTATTTCTCGACTTTTTAGTTACACACGTGCAAACGCATCAGCGTCAGACTTTGTCAGACATGAATTCGTATGTGTAACTTTTACTTTTCATTTTTTTTTTATTTCTAGCAATACCCTCTGTACCGCCACTAAAACATCACGGGCTGGAGTTGTCGACTAACAACGGGGAAGGGCAGACCGTGCCACTTTCAAATAACAGGAGTTGCATTTGCAGAAATGCAACTCCGGTATACGAAGGTCTGTTTCGACCAGGAGAAGAATCCCGTTAATTTTCCAGGACAGTTTGGCAGTTTTAAAGGGAGTGTATCACACGGCAGCTCACTGTAACCCCGTTCCTCCCTTCGTCCGGCCCATCCTCTTTCTCTCTCACTCGCTGCACAGTAGATTAAATGCACTCACATGCAATTCTACATAAAGTCTAGTGAGCTGTAGCTCAACAGATAGTATCCAAAAGTGCAATTACCTATATCGCGCGCAGTGCTGCCACAGAAAAAAAAAAGAAATATCGTACAACCCCCTCTCTCCTAGCTATGTGAAAATTCTTGCGCAAAAACCTACCCATGTAACAAGGAATAATTTCTAGGCTCGTATCTCCCCGTTTCACGAGACCAGCGAGACACCCCACCTCTCGCAGGTGGTATAAAAATTCTCAACGAGGCGGCTGCTGCATTGCGTTCTTTATTCTGCGTTACCGACCGCACCGGTTTGATAGAAAAGTTTAGTAAGCCAGGGCGCCGTCCACCAGGGAAAACGTTATATGACGTATGTATATACACAAAGTACATGCATACGTATATAATACACAGAGTTTGGCGGGATCGCTTGGAGCCTGGATTCCCCACGAGATCAACACTCTATACTATATCTAGGTAAGTATAATGTACAGTACTGTATGGACCGAGGTTAGAGTTCACAGCTCACGGAACTTCGACTACCGTATCCATAGAAGGACGTAGGCGAACTAATAATGAAAAGCCCATCCGAGTTAGTAAGATCGTTAAGCTGCCAGCTACCGGCGTGTGATCGAAGTTTAACTTAAAAGCGAACGTGTTCCAACTATACCGACTTAACTGTACGCGACAACCCTATGCCCTTAGAGCAGTCCGTTCCGCGCCATGAAATTGGAACTATCCGAGCAGCGAGGTTAGAATTCGTTTACCCTTCTTTTTCTCTGTTTTATCCTTCTCCACGGCATCGCTGTGTTCCACTTATCTATGTATACATGTTATATACTTGGATGGACCGTGGGTTAGGTTAGCTATACATATAGGTACAGCTCGGTAACGTCGCTAGACGTAGAAACTCCAATTAAAAGTTAAAGCTACGGCTGAACCAGGCTTTAATTGGGGACCGTCTCCTTAACGGCGATTAGAGCCGATCGACGGTCAGAGTCCCACCTCACGGTCTTATCTTTACCCGGGTTAATTGAGTTAATTAGCCGTCGACGTCGCTTCACTCGCCGATCGAAAGTCCCTGGATACTTTATACGAGTCTTCTTTTACATGGGATTTGGTAAGTATCCTCGTAGCAAATTGCTACAATATACATGTATTCTTGTAATCGATACATGATTCGACTATGTATCGTGTATACGTATTAGGTACCTGTACTACGTAGATACGTGCGCCTAATTTCTCACTATCTATTCCACTGATTATCGATTCTGTCTGTTTTATCGGATGCAAATACACAGTAATTCGTATTGGTAATCGGTCGAGGGTTGTAGATCTTGCGCATTTCGTAACCCTTGTCAGTTTATTGCTCGGCAATGGCCTCCAGTGCTGTAGCAATGACAAACTTATTATTGAACTATATATTATGTAAGGTAATTAATGTCTAATCAGCTATCCGTTATAGGAGGTCTAAGGGTTGTTTTAGTTTGTGATATCAGCACCTGCACAGAAGGTCAGATGCAATGGTTATGCAATTTTGAATGGAGCTGGCAGGTAGGACACGCAATGCAGTGCTGGGAAAATTAGGTCAGCAAGTTTTCGGGTTAGTGGATCGAGTCGACGCGTGTTGGGTAATCTAACCCAACTTTACTGAGTCCTGTCAAGAGCTGTCGCGTGGCTGTATATTTTTGGTTGGGTCTATTCCTCGCGAACACCCGGTACGTTACAAAACGTTAGGAACAGAAGAGGTTTAAGGCGCTTCTCCGTGAAGCCAGGTTAAGGAGATACGGTAGATCAGTCCCTGGGTAAATGTATGTAAATTAAACGTCCCCCGGACTTTATTTAGCGCGAGAGTTTAAGGAGTCTTCGGGATCGTCCAAAGACATGGAATTTCGCTAGTGATGAAACTCAACATAATATGTGCGTTACAGATGCTAATACCCTGGTAGCATCAATACTGACAGGACGGGGGGTACAATTTCGGATCTTGTAATACTAGTTTTACGACTTTGCCGAACGACTTTGGTCTTAAATATTTCATCCGATGACAAACCGGTCCAGGTGCTGATGCTGATGCTTGCCAATGAAATAGAGGATCATTTACTCTTGACTTATTTTATTTCTCTTTAAATTTTTTTACGGTGGCTTTTTTTTATGTTATTCCGCGACAGTGGGAAATCAGACCGGATGTATCCGGTCACTACTTCCGGTTCAGCGGTATTGCTCTTATATGGGTATTATTTTATTTCTCACGTCCTTTTTATTTTATCTCTCTGTCTCTCTCTGACACACACACACTCTCTTTCTCTCTCTTCAGCTCGTTATTACCAACTACCTTCCTCCAAGTAATGTGAATGCTCAATGGCACGCATTCGGCTGGCTTTGTACTTATTACTATGCTATTGTAATGGGCCTGTGAATGAGATCCTGTAGTGATGAATACGAGTGGTACTGTGATAAGAACAACGTATGAACAAGGTACAGGGTATTTAAAACATTTTTTGAAATTTCTAGAAACTTAAGTTTTCTTCTCTCTTTTTTTTCTAGGTAATCTAAGAACTGTCAAAAAACGGTATTTTGGACATTCTCTGCTGAATGGAATTGCTTTGTATAATGAAAGGAGCCCAGTTGTCTAATTTATATGGGAGACACTTTACTGGTCGACATACCTGAATATGTATACATTTGTCTCCAAAGGCAGTAGCAGTCTACAGCTATATAGATATATATTTCTATACTTACGTATACACGTGTACAGTTACCTGAGAATAGGTAAGTGGAAATCTGAATGTAGCTGGTCTTGTACATTGTAACCAGTCAAGAATGGCAACGCTCTTCACACTTTATTAGGTGTCGAGTCGCCACTTAAGTTCGAGGATTTTCGAAATTGGGTCACTTGATAGAGGTAACCGCTCTTAATTTTTTGATTAATCTTTTTGTCCTCCGACTGATCTCATTATAATACACGTGATTTCTTTTAGGCTGTCCGTACCAGAGATGCTGTGATTTACATTTTTCGAATGCGAGTACGAAATTATTATTCTGGACTATCTTCGGACGTCTTCCCAATTTCCGACTGACGCTGCTACTGAAAACCCGATTAATTTCGTCGGGGCACCTTCGTAAAATTCGTAATTAGCCTTCATTATTCCGCGGCCCTAGTGAAATTGCTTGCCGACGTCGGATGCCTGACTGCGAGACCGAAGGCGCTCCGGAAGTTTTACCGAAGATAAATAGAAGTTTTCCACCGCAGCCGAGGAAACGCGCGTCGCCGGCTAAATTAAGTATATAAGGTAAATAGCCAAAGCGCCAAGAAGAGATATTGGAACGATTTCACTAATCCGCTAATAATTATTGGCTAATTGCTGTGTAAAGATGATAATTAAGACAAACTTTTCTCCTTCGTATTGCGCTCTGCACTGATGTTGCAAGCTTAGTCTCGTAATGTCAACTTTTTTTAAATAGGACAATCCAGAGATTCATGCGTAGATCGCTGTCCGATAGTATCGGGATGGTATGGATTCGTTCAGTGATTGCTGTGGATTTCCGTATGGAAATAATTTTGCGACCGCTGCCGGAAAACATTGTTCGGTTATACAATAGAAAACGAAAAAAAATATAGTCCCCTCTTTGTCGACTGGGTGGACCTATGCTGGCTGAACGTAAAATTCGACGGATGTTCCACGATATTCGTTATAGAGGTAATTTTTGAATTCTGTCATTTTATTTTTATTTCTGAACTCTCCTTTGGCTCGATTTTGTTTCCTTGATCACTTTAAACATTTGTTTAATTAATTCCTTTTCAATTGACCTAACCACGTTCTACTCAGTTATCCAAAGTGTCTGCACCAGCAGGGGTTAACCAGTAATCGCAGCTTCGAAGTAAACAAATCAAAGTTTGGACCGTTCGTGTAAGCAAGCCGCGTTTTCACGAAACGTTTAGAGGCACTGCGTCTTCACGGCGACGCCAACGTCGTCCGGGTCGTTCGCGTTACTCAATGGTAAAGTTTCTTTCATAGTTGTCAACCAAGAGCAACATTTCACCTTCCCTAAGCCAAAAACTATTCTAATCTTCTCCCACGTACTTCTCGTTTTCATTTGGTATCTCAAAATTGTATATATACACTTACGGTTTTTGACATCTTAGACCGGATTTTCATATTCATCGACTATCATCGGAAATTGCCGAAGGCACGCGAACCCCGTAAAATCTTCGGGCGTTAATATTGAGTTTGCCAGGGCGCCGTTCAATTTTCAGCCAGAAACGTCTTTTGGCGAACATTTCCGCCATCTTCCTCCGTGACTCTTCTCGTTCTTCCGTCCAGCACACTTTGCTCTTTCGGTAATTTTCCCTCGTATAATTTTCCGTTCTGCGTCCTTCTATTCCTTCTTCCGTCGGACCGTCGACGTCCATATTGGAAGGGAATTGAGTTTGTTGCGGCAAATGGATATTTATGCGGTACTACCAGCCCGCCCGGTTGCCATTGGCCACGTCGAAAGTACCCGTACGTTTCCTGGCTTGAAAATTCACCTTTAAATGCACTGCAATACCATAGAAGACAGCAGCAACTTTCACGTACCCCATATCTATTTTGTACCTATGATTTTATATACATTCGACTTGTTATTTTTGTATACGTAACATTTGCATACATATTTATTTGTTTGGTGTATCCGTAGATTTCAATCCTTGGATATTGGACTTCTATCGCAAAGTATCATTGGACTGCAGTGTGAAGTTATCAGTTCTCTTAGTTCCGATACCACTCGCTAGGTGTGCCCTATAAACAGGCGGGAAATTTGAAACGATAAAAATTCCAAATGCATTCCCTGAACGAGGGTAAATCTAGAAGGTGTCTCATCTATATGAAGTATTTGGATTGAGGTAGTAGGTAGGTAGGGTTGGTACCTAACAGAGGGTAGAAAAGCAATAATTGATCTTATGCTAATATTACAAGTGAGTTATGAAAGGTTCGTGCCGAATAGGATAATTTGTTTTCACGTTATAACGTCAGACCCGTTCCACCAGCACGTGAGTCCTAGGGAAGCTAATGGCCAGAGCCTAGAAGGTTAGGAGTTACACTTTGCTCATACAGAAACCCAGTGACGCATTTCGAAGCGTTGAGGGTTGAAAATTGTACTTTACATCTCTAGCCTTGTATTTAGAACCAACTCATCCATTATACAGCTGGTATATTCACATCTCTATATGCAAACTCCAGACTCCTAATCAGCCGTTTTGCGCCACTGGCAGCAACTGCCAGAGGGTGAGTGGATGACCGAGAGCGTACCGTGATTAGGGGGGTTGCACCGCTGCAGACGAGGGATTTGAGGTTAGAGGATTTGTACTACAAATACGACATGTGGACAGAGCGACCGTACGACCGTTATTCCCAAGACCGTTACCTATAGGTATATTCATCCCTCGCCAAACTTCATGCCGCTCATTGAGAACCGCCTCATGGAGAAACTTCAACCCCCTGCGAGCTGTCCTCGTCACAACTGCACAACTACCAAACTGCATCACTGCAACCAAGAATCTCGGATGGTAGCGTCAAGGAGTCTTTTAGAACCTAGATAGGCAACCCCATGAGATTTTCTGGTAACACGAATCCTCTTGGTTAGCTCAGTCGATAATTTAATTGATACTTTTATTTTGTATTTTCGATTGTCCAATAATTATATAGAAATTTATTTAGTCTGTTATTGGTGTGACTGTATACTCCAATGGACATTATTTTGAATGGACACAGCCTAGTGGTTTTCTCGTTTGAATTAACAGCATATTTAGGACGCGAGACAGTTTCCACTGGATATATCGACTGACACTGAAAAGTCGATACTGGACTCGTTAATCTGGTAATTAAAGGCGTCGGTAATGGCGACCATTTTATACCAGATTTATACTGAGCATATAAAATTTGTGCAAAGGTGAGAAAGTGGATCGGTGTATTTAATAATATATTACTGTCATCAGTGTCCTGTTATTACTTTAATATTCATTTTAATGCTGCGATATAAGGTAAAACAATGTTATGACATTTTTTTCAGAAATTTCAATTGTCAAGGATTTATCGCGAAGGAGATAATTACTCCACTACCGTAAATTTATATAGACCGTTTCTGTAGGAAAACAAGGCATACGCAATTTGTCAGTGTAAATTTTAAAAATTCCGTTCATATCGCTCATTTAACTTTTCTAATTATGCAAAACAAATAGATACCCCACTGTTACTATTTTTTGGTATTAAAAATAAGCTGCTACGTCATTTTGTGAATATTTGCGGTAATTTCATTAATGTGGTATTACGATTATTACTTACCATAGAACAGTAATATTACACGTTGTTGATAGTTGAGAGTTTCATTAACGAACGCGAGAATTCTAGTTTAATTATATATCTAGTCACGTAGCAATAAGTATATAATTATTGTCTACATAGATATATATAGCTATAAAATACATGTATACAGAATTGTTCTGAATTATCCAGGAAATTAAGTCGCTTCATGAGAATTCTCTCAGTGAACGTACTAAACATTCACTATCGCATTACAACGTTTAGTCGCTCGTTCGTGGTACTACTGGGTTATCCTTTAGGTGAATTTGACGTGCTTTTCGTGCATTGTGGATGATCAATCCTACCCTAAACAGTCTCTGGTAAAATCGCATTACCTTAGCTCAATGTAGTTTATAAGTTTGTCCTATCTAGTTACCTGCACAATTCATGGCCGACTAGACACGTACTGGCCTAACGGTATATATGTATTGCTGGATGCTGAAACTTTGGGACTTTGAAAGATGTAACTGCGAGTGAAATGAGATCTTTAGAAAGGTGGTGAAAGTTTCATTTATTTTAGAGAGCGTGCGTATGATGTTTTTGATTTTCATGGAAAGGACGTATCACATCTTTAGAAATTAGATGTCAGTCGAACTGACTTTTTGACTTGGGATGCTGATTCAATTTGGACTTGTGCAATGGACCATTTGATTTGATTGAGAATTTCAACTATCTCCGTACGTGTGGTGGTAATCGTGCAAAACTATCGTTTCAGGAATTCTACGTCGATTCTTGGACGTCTCGACGCCCAACTGGACAAATTGGACAGAATGTCCAATTGGACAAAACCGGTGTACGAGCGTACTGGCCGCAATCCGTTCGTGTCTATTAGTCAAACCAACTATCCACAATTTGTAATCTAGTTTGAGTTTGCTTTCGGACAAGACGACGCTTACCGACGTCCGACGTCGATCTACGTAAACCATGATCTAAAATTGGCGAAGGGCTACGTACCTGATTGTGGCCAAGCTAGCAACTGTTCTGGAAGAGCATGCTGAAGTGACGAATTTGAATTTATCTCAAATTTTATTTTGTTTATTGATGCAATAAATTTTATATTTTTCTTAAAAAATTATAGGCTGTTGAATATGAATAATCAATTTATCTGATACCGGAACGAAAGGGCAGCGTAACGAGATCGATTCGTAGTGGAGAATCTGCCTTGAGGTCTTGCACGAAGTTGAAGAAACTTGAGCGTCGCGACGTTGGGATTACTGTGCAGCTATTAGAAAAAAATACAAGGTGAAGAAATATTATTAGTAAATCTTGTTTGATCCTTTCGCTAGTAGTTCATATCTCTCACTCACTCGCCTCAACTTCCTCCATAGTCTGATCCTCCACCCTTACCAAGAAGGTACATACCCACGGGAAGCGGAAGCTGCAGGTACTACGTAGCGATGTAAAGGACGCCAAGAGAGAAGGAAGCAAAGTCAAAGTAGTAAGAGAAAATAAGATAGGACGAAAGTAGAAAGAGAATTGCAAATTCAGTAGAGGAGGAATCGGTCGACATCAGGGAACGATTGTCCGACTTTGCTACCGGAAACAAGAAAACAATGCATCGAATGGCTATTGACTGACGCAGTTACTGAGGGCTGGAACGACGCCTGGCGTCGGGTGAACTCTCCTTTATATAGGGGAGGGGGATTATGTGTACAGACAGGAAACGGCCTATGAGAAGGTCGGTCGCACACCAACCACCTGGTATTGCTACCAACTTCAATAACCAGCTTTTATCATTTCACTTGACACTTCAATAATGCGATAGAGATGTGTAAAAAGTTGGGGGAATCCCCTGATCATTTTTTCAATTATTCAAATATATCATCGATCATGAAAGTCTGGGAAGGGTCATGGGACTTTGTATGGACTCGCATAAATTAGAGGTATTAATACGCATTAGACCAATCCCATTTTGAATATTGCCCAAGGGATGCTGAAGCCTCTCCTTCCCATCAGCCGTATTGTTACTGAGTTTCTATTGTTCTCTCAAAACGGAACGGCCGACTAACCACGATCGTCTCTACTCTGTTTCGTTACGTTTGCTGCTATTACATTGCCTGCTTATGTGAAATTCTCAACCGGAATGTGGCTCTTTGATTCGTCTATACGTTTATCGGGTAGGTCGATGCTATGTTTATAAAGAAAATATTCATGTATGTCTTTGCTCCCTTGCCATCGTTGAAAATAAACACAATTAAAAATCTTGGAAGAGCATACAGTGAAGGTAACAAAGAGAAAGACGTTAAATGATAATTTCTTTAAATGTTCTGTGTATTTACATTTTTTTTCTACGCATTTTTTGTTTGAACGCATCTGTTCCATTTCATTTCAGTTTTCAAAGCGAAACATCCTACAAATCGCGTGGGATCAGACATCATGGCGCCAGTCGCATATACCGATTTCTAAGAAACCTATCTTTCATCTTTTGTAAACCTGTTCGACATGGATCTTTTTTGCTAAAGAAGAATCTTGATACCATTCATGGAAAAGTGAGCAGGACTGATTTTCACGGTGATGATTCTCGCGGTAACGTTGATATGCTTCACTTTTTTTTCTCACTAGAGAGCGCTCCACCAGACGTTACGCCACTGGGAACTACTCGCAGCTGATTGGCCGACTCTAACGCGGTAGCTTTCTGATTGGCTGACGCACGGAGGTGCGTTCGATAGCCCGGCTCAAACCCCCAGTACCCGGCAGGGCCTCGAACGGGAGACTGCTCTGCTACGTTCCGATTTTCAAAATTCCCTCGCTCGTTTAAATGTTTGACGCCTATTTTGCCATTAATTCCAAGAAGATTATAAATAGCCGGCGATCACCTAAACCTCATCTCTGATATACCGTGTCGCGCTACCGCGAATGCTTAACGGATTTGTCATTCAAAAAATAAGCGAGAAGAACGATAGACTTTGATCGCGTACCTCGTATTGAAAACCCAAGTATCAAATATATTCAATAGATTTACTCTATGGAAAGTAACAATTGAATCCCGCGCAGTGCTATCGCCATAACCTCAGTGAGCTTTTGTGTTCCGTGACTTAGTGCCTTTTTATTTTGGATTTTATACCAACCCGACCGGCCGCTTGACGTCAGGATTTCCCAGATCTCCCACGTCTAAAGGTAATGTCAAATTTTTTCAACATAACACCAATCTAAGTCTAACCACGAAGTTTTCCCAAAATATCACAAAATCACCATAAAACATTATCTACCTCGTTTTTTGACATCATTAAAAATCCCGCGAATTTTTCTCTACGTATCCTCGGAATCTTCATATCCCGTTAAAGACACTCTTTCACACCTCTCTTCCTAAAAACACTCCTAAGGTCCCGTACCTCGATTCTTCGAAAATCAAGCATTTCCATTTTGTCTTCCCTAGTTCAATTAAAAAAAAAAAAAAAAAAAAAAAAAAAAAAAAAAAAAAAAAAAAAAAAAAAAAAAAAAAAAAAACGGACGAGCACATTCGATCCCATTGTTGCCTTGTATCGAGTTCCCAAGCAATGGCGTTACTCCAATATAGACAAGCATATACATATATACCATGACTAGATAGGTGGGTAGGTAGGTACTACCCGCACCCACGTAATCGTACCGCATTCGCAAGCGGGAACGTTGGTTCCGGCGGAAAGGCGAGTCAGGTGCAAGCGATCTATAAACGACAGTCGTTGACCGGGTGGAATCGAACGAACCGTAGCGAACGATCGGCCATTCGTACAGAAATCGAAATCGTGCGCCCGGCATTGATACTATACCGGTACATCGCGAGTTCATTGAACTCTATATATAGGTATCAATATAAGATCCACTCAACAGTTCGAATTCTCTCACCATGGCGATTCCATTCTAATTTCCTAGACTCCTCGACTTTTCTCCTTGCCGATACGTATATATATATATGGAGATGTAGATATATATATATACCGCGAGATTGACGTTCTCAACAAGTAATGACACGAGACGGCAGCTACTCTTCCGGTACAGAGGCATCTTCCGGCAAGGATATCATCCGGTTTCTGCCGTACATAAATATTTACCCGCGTGCACTCAGCCGTACAAAATTCCAAGCTCAAAGAGTCTCATCTCCGTCCCCATACACCAGCATCTTTCCTCACGATTTTCTCCTGTCATCTTCCTCCCTCACGGCCACCCGGACGCTGCTCCGAATCCACCAGGTTCATCCACAAAGCTCTCGCTGATGCGTCTCCTGCAGTGACGTACCAAGTTAGCTCCCGGTTGACTTCCAGCGCTCCATCAAGGATAACAGAGGTACCTCCGCGTTACACGTAGGAATGGAGCAGAAGTGAAAATCCTTCGACGTCCACCGGCGCGGTGTGGACCAGGCTGAAGTTTACCTCGTAGAACTTTACGGGTCCACGAAGCTGGCACGTTGTGCTTGTAACCGTGGGACTGACGCATGGACCATCCTCTACCCGGTTCCTAACTACGGACACCTAAAGCTCTCTTCCCTCTTCTCATGAATATTCAGGTGGGGGGTAGTTTGGAAGGTTCGCCAAAGGTACCCGAAGCTGGTCTAGCAGGGTAGCCAACTGTCCTGGAAATTGCCCTAGGCGTATACCCGGCACCTGTGACACCCGGCAGGTCCTGCCCATCGGAGTCTACATTATTTGGCAGGGACAGGTGGGCCACGTCCGTCGGCGCTTGGGACATCCGTATAATTGAATTAGGCAGTTCCCGGTGTGCGGCAACCTTTAAGTTAGGTACACGGTTGGCTCCCTTGAGAATACCGTCTTTCTGGGCGGCATCGATGTCTCCGCTCGGTAGAGACGCTCGTGTCTCTCATCCTTGGTACCCGGGGTCATCATAATTCATGGGATTCGCACAGGACACGGGGTTGATGAATGCAGGGTGAAATACCTATCGTTAAATATTGACGTAGTTAAAAAAAAATAATTTTATCCTCTCCCACCTCCCCCCGCCCCCTCTCCTTTATTTGCTTTACTCAGGATCGATTTTTCCGTAATCCTATACCTCCAACTCGCAATCCCTCTCATTCACTGTAATATATGGCCGGCTGGACAGAGGGTGCCCGACTACCCTTATACGCGATGCTCCCATGTATTTTCATCCCCCAAGTTTACTAGCCGGAATGGTCCGATCAGTTCGTATACCGGCCGGTGTTATCGTTATGGCATTTATTATCCAAGGTTCCGTAATGTTCTCAGGGCGTGTCTCTACCTCATCTGTGTCCCGACGCGGTACGTCGACGCCCGAGATATTTGGTCTCCGGATGAGGATTGTATGACGTCATTTATCTCGAAGCTTCTCTTGCATTTACGTGATTCCTTTAAGGGTGGGTTTTTTTTTTTAAATCCCGGTCTGACGCGTTTCTTAGACAACGGTTAAGCGCGGGGTCGTGTCAGAGATGTTTTTTGGGGTGAAATAAATTTTTGAATTTTTTTTTTCCCGCCGAAGGGTCGCCGGGCGGGGGAGGTGAAACTCGCACACGCGCCAAAGTGACGCTACGGAGACGTCTAGCTGCGCATAATAGGGAGACTGTACTGCGAACACTTAGCTTAGGGCGGATTTCTACGAAGGGATGATTTTGAAAGGTCGTCACTTGGCCTCGAGTGACGGTGCTTCTCGTTGGGATTTACATGGCAGCAGTAAATGTTTGATTGTTCGTTGTGCTACGAATGAAGGGCCATTCACAGGGTGGTATATCCTCGCACCCCTCGAGGGAACGTTGTACATACCTACCAGTATCCTCGTGCAAGGTACTTCGACCCGTTCCCTTTATCTTGTCTTCTCAAACCCCCTGTGTATGCTATACCGGTTTACTCTGTAGTGGATTGCGTGGTCTTCCTTGACCTCTTGATAGAATTTCCGATTCGGAAACGTTACGCTTGGTTGATTTGTACGTGTATATGTCTTTTTTTAATCTCTCTCTCTCTCTCTCTCTCTCTCTCTCTCTCTCTCACACTCTATCTATCTCTCTTTTTCTCGTTACCTCCCTTTTTTCCTCTCTGCCTCCGAACGGACGTCAGCTGTTGTCCTCGTATACCTCAGCGGCCCACGTATGAGTTACCCCGAAGGGCTACGGGCGCGTCCATTACGAAACTCTCGACGAGCGGGTCCCTTTCTAATTTCTCTGGTCGGAGAAGCAAGAATAACAAGAGGGAAGGATCGCGGTCGCGGCGCATGCGCGGATCGCCGGTTAATTCACGAGACGGCCCGCGAGCCCAGGAAAGCGCAAGGTGCGAAAAGTCGATCTGAACTTGGGAAGAAGTCCATTATGCATTTGCCTCGTTGCCACTCCTGGTTTCGTATTACGAACTCGTCTCGTCTAAAGGCCCGTTCACATTGCAGTCACGTACCCGGTGCACTCCTCCAGCGGGAGCCCGCAAATTTCTCAACCCCTTTGAATTTTTGGAGCACCTCTCGAGCGAAACACCGAGTACGGCCCTCTGTCGCCGGTTGCTACGTTCATGAATATTTGCCCGAATTTTTGCTTTCTTTTTTTTTTTTTTTTCTTCTTCTTCTTTTCACGACAATACCAGTTTACCGCATTTTCTTTTTCCTCACCTGGAACACCCGCTATAAGGAGCTTTGCGTATGCAAGCCATTGTGTATACACTGTATATATAAGCTAATCTATACTTTTCACCGCGACTCACCGTCTCAATCTACTACCTACTTCCTTTAAGTTCTCATCGATTTAGCTCACAGTCAGGCTCCCCTATGTATACGTCACGTAGATATCGGCAAGTATCGTACGAGTCTTACGTGTCCCTATACCTTCGTCACCAATCTAGGCTCCATAACGTTTACAACCTTTACGAACGTCTTGCCGAAGGTACCACCCGGTACTTACCTTGCCACCCGGTACGTAGGTAGATCGTACGGCTCGATGCCGAGGGCACTTTTCGCGATTGAGCCGGGTATAGAAGCCGCGATGTGTATCCCCATAGCAGCGACGACCGGCTTATCCGAACGTTCCGAGCCGATGCCAATTTCGACGCGCAGTCCGTTCGCGGTAGCTTTATGCGTGGGAAAAGCTTACGACGCGTTCCTCATACATGTGTGCAAGGCTTTATCTCGTGGGAAACAGACTGTACACTCATCTCAGGCAGCTAATACGCGGACTGTAGCTACTGCGGACACGATTGACAAATCTTTTGATATTTCGTAACAGACACGTATTTTCTCGGCCTTCCGATCTTGCTCACTCATCTTGTAACTTGGCCAGTGCCGCTTGGCGGGGATGAAATTAGTTCGATTTGCACGCTGCATCCGCGAACTCCGTACGCGCACGTACAGTTCACTCTCGCACGTTACCCACCTTGTGGACCCTGCCGTTTATGGGGTCACGTGGTCTTGTACCTTCGGTACCTTTCTTCCTCCCAGGTAGAGGACGGGAGAGGGTGTATCCTAATACGGCAAGAAAGTGCTCAGGGCTTCGCATTCCGAGGGATCATTATCTCGAATAACAGAGGTCTAACCGGGCTCCCCCCTCCTCCCTCCCTCTTCTACAGGCCCCCTGCTACTACGCGCTCCTTTCCACATACTCTGTGAACTCCTCTTTACTCCGCTGGCGCGGTGTCGCCGGTCTCACAGGAAGTCCCCAGTACCCACGGTAGAAGATCGACGTATGTATCCTTATTGACTACGTCCTTTTTTGATCTCTCGAGTTTGACGGCGAATTAATATTCGTCATGGACGTCCTCGAGGGGGGATGATCGTTCAGGGGGTGAGTTTTAGGTCGGTAACTTTGGGATCCTCGTATCGAAATGCACTGATACTCCTTGGTGGGGGTAATTACGTTCCTTATCTTATTCCGTTTCAACCCCCTCCTCCCTCCCGCCCTCCCCAGGCCCCTGATACCACCGAGTGAGTCGTTCGGATTGGCACCACTTCGGCAGGGATGTAAAAGCCGGGGGATGAGAGTGACTCCGCTATCGGAATAAGGGTTGCAGGGGCAGGAACCGGAGGAACCGGCTATGGGACAGAGACCAGTCTCGATTTGATTGAACTTGGTTCACGACACCAGGAAGAAAAGCACTCTGTTCGAAGAGAGGGGCGCGGGGCGATACGGCTCGGAGGGAACGACCA